AAGAAGAAACGCTTGCTTTCCGTTACATTGAGAGAAAAGTTGTCTATCTCTCTCAGTTATGGAAAGGGAAAACATGCACTGAAAGTTCACGTCGTTTACTTTCAAGGCTAAGACAAAAAACAACACTCGGTTTTCGTTTAATTTATTTTCTTTAATTTGACACTGATTCAGGAAATTTTGGTTGACAGGTTTTTGTTAAAATAATAACAATTAAAGAGGAACATACTGTAAATTAGAAAACTGTTCGTATAAGTTTACAGGGTTCACGGTACGAAGACATGTTCGACAGCTTACATCGTTAAGCCGGCTTTATATCTTTGGCAGGCCATTTGATGGCATGCAGCGAAAAAAATAGCGTGGTGCCTTTCATTTGATTTTATATTCTTCTCTCTTATGACAAACTTAATGTAAATATTGCTAAAAAAAAAAAAACCGTCAATGACGGAAACATTTACTACGCCTCACGATTTTATTGTTATATTATCACGATTACCTTCCAAAATTATAGAATGGTTTTAGTGCGAATTAATAGAATAAGTATTGAATGTCCTTGAATTTTACTCCGCCGGAATTAGGACGCGGAGTTAAACTTCGAAAGCGGATTTAGTTTTGCGTCCTTGGCACAAAAGGTAAGGAAAATAATACTCAAAAACATGACTTGTTTTATGCCGGAGTGAAAACCCGTCTTAAGTTCAATTCAAGCGAAGTGAAACTAGGAATCAATCACGCAAAAGCACAATTGATCACGTTTCTTTAGATTTCAAAAATCCATTGTTAGCCAAACCTTTGTAAAAACTTTACAAAAACGAAATCATCTATAATCAATTTAATACATGACAGACTGACGTTGTTATACTAAACCCCAATGTCTAGCGAGAGAAATCTCTCAACGAAGGTATTGAATTAGTCCAGCAATTGTTCTCATTCAGTTCTGTCTACATGCTTCCTCAGTAAGCCCATTGTTGGTTTTGTGGTTCACCATACCCATTACAAACGGATACGATTGACGACGCCTAATCTGAAGCCACAATAAATGCATTTTTACATTTAAATGAAGCAAATATTACGGAATATTGGACCATTTAATTTACCTTAAAATTCCGACTTTAAATGTCATTACAAAGATATCGCGTGGATTTATCCTAAGCTTCAATTAACACGCGACATTAACTAATATCCAAGTTTAATTTTGTCTTGTTGCGTGGATCTAAGAACTTTTCTTGCATACCACGTTTTATAAGTCCTCTGTAGTGTTCCTATGATTTTCAGTGAAAAAGTTGTATTCCTTTTAAGAATTAAATCTTTAACATAGCTAGTAATTAGAGCCGCGCTATTAAACTCGTATTGAAGTTTGCATCATGCATTATTCATCATGGCGTGAGTGCAGTTCATTTTGCTTCACGAGAACACAATTGCTATATGCTTTAGCTGTGCCATCGAGTTATGATGCTCTTGAGAACACTGGAGCACTTAAGAAACTACAGTTGGTCTTAGCTACGCTTTTAGCAACTCTTACGCTTCTTTCGTGTTCTCCAAACTTCCCGCTTACTGAATAACTTGATCATGTGAGCTGAAGTATTGAGCCAACACAATAACAGGAAGTCTTTCGGAAAAACGTGAAGTATTTTTGGATCTTCCCGACATATTCCGTTGAATATCGTGTTGTTATCATTGGTCATTTTTCGATGCGTTCCCTTAGGCAAGTCTGTTGAGTCCTTTATTCATCAATATGTTTCGCTCTATTCGATCTGTAATAAAGGTGTAAATTCTCAGTACAAGTCATGTTGTAGGTCATGAGAAGAAACGAACTGACCTGCCAGAAGTATCATGTGTTCTCTCAAAATGTATAGATGTTAGTAACGAGATTATAAATGTTGAGGAAAAAAGGGACTTAAGTTCTTGGGTACCGTGTTTGCGGACTCAAATCTAAGACCTTTCCTGCCTCGTTTCCAGAACTTTTTCCTTAAAGTTGTTTCAAGGACAAAGCCCTGAAAACGAATGGACCTTTCGCATACCTGTCTGATGTTCCACTACTCTACTAGCTACGAGACAAACCTTTCCCAGTCTCTTGCTTTGTATCTGTTATTTATTCATATCTTTGTCACTGCACACTGCCAGGCTGTACATACCTTTCTTTAACTTTCCATAACTTTCTTTTTTCCTTTGTAAAAGTCTACAAAATTAGTTCTAGCAGCATTCGAGGTGATTAACTCGTTTGAACCAAAAGCAATATGGCGAGCGATTTTCTTGGTAGCTTGTGTCACTGACTGACGTCTGTTTGCTTTTCTGTATTAGAACAATGTACTCAGAAATCAGACGTCGCCTTCGTCATAGACTCCTCGGGAAGCATCGCCCGAAGAAATTTCCAGAAGGAAAAAGAATTCGTGAAGGAAGTGGCGTCCACCTTCAAGATGGGTCCCGATCAATCTCAAATCGCCGTCATCTCGTACAGCGACGACGCTCAAATCGACGTCAAATTCGGCGAATACTCGAACGTCAACGACTTCAACGCTGCCGTCGACAGTGTAAAGCATCAACGGAAACGCACGCGAATCGACTTAGCTCTAGATCTTGCTGCCACCAGTCTCTTCACTCCCGAAGGGGGAGCCCGTCCGAACGTTGCCAAGGTGATGGTCATCCTGACGGATGGCAAGCAGACCAATATGACAGGTTCGAAGACGCTTGATGTAGCGGTGCGCCCTCTGCTGGACATCAATGTGACGATTTTTGCGGTTGGTGTGGGCAGTGCTATCGACATCAACGAGTTGTTACTCTTGGTGGGAAACAACGAAGAAAACTTGTTCAGAGCTCAGAACTTCAATGAGTTGGCTAAAGACAGTCTCCGTTTGGCTTCTCAAACATGTCAGAGGATCAAGCCTCCTACAGGTGGGAAGACGGTTTATTGCTATTCGCTCCCCTTGCTTCCCATGGTATCATCATCTATCCCTTAGACGCCAACTGGCGCATCGACAATTGAGACTCCTCCATCTCTATAGGTCCTTGGCAAGCCATGCGGCTTGCTCCCAGTTAACGTTTAAGCCTCTGAAGTTCTTCCTGTACAGTCCACCTCCAGGTGGATTTGGGACGGCCTGTCTTACTTTTACTCTCTGGGGTCCATCTGAGAGCAACTTTAGAGATGTTTTCACATGGTATGCCATTATTCTAATTGATCGAAAGCCCGATGGCCTAATGGTGGTCTGGGTTCTAGCCCTCGCACTGTTGCTCTTTCGACTTAGTTAGGAGCTAGACGAGAGCTGTCGTGGGTTATTACCATGGAAATTCGTGGCAAGACAGATTCCCTTCGCAATAGCACCCTTGATATCTATCTGACCACGACCTGTTCCCCTGTGGCCTCGTAGATAAATTGATAGAGCAACGATGAATAAATCCGAAGGCGTGGGTTCGAATCCTCAGAGCTCGTATGATCCCCTATGTCCCCTCTTGGCTTAACTCTCAGGAGGCAATTCTCGGTTCGATATCGATTTTCAGCATTCCATATGTCATTAGTTTAGTAGACGAACTTTTGATTAACTATGACGTATAAGTTTTCAGCTAAGATATTTGTACCCGCATTCAGTTGTATGGGTGGGCATACTGACATGTGATCTTTTTAATGTCAGTTCATGGTGACTGGTCCGTCTGGGCTGAGTGGGGTGACTGTTCCCAGTCATGTGGCGGTGGTGTTCAGGGACGCCGGCGATCGTGTACAAATCCACCTCCCAGCAATGGCGGACGGGATTGCCCTGGAAAATCAACGGAGTTGCAGAGCTGCAACACCCGAGGGTGCCCAGGTAACTTGCCTAGCTAGCCTTCAGTGTTTTATATATCAAAAAAAATCGAAAATGATAACCAAGAGCATGCAGTAAAGTAAGTTATCCATGAGCTTCACAGCATTTTTCTCCTCTAAGCTAAGTTTGAATCAAATCGCAAATTGAAAATTGGAAAAGTAAAAAAGAAAAAACAGAAAGTGAAAAACAAGTTAAAAGAAACAACACAGGAAAACTATAAGTTGGAAGGGACGAGACGAATTCCGACAAACTTAATTTGAAAGCCTAAACGTATCAAGATGCGTCCTCCTTTTCGTTAGCCTCTTTGGCAGACGTTCTTTTACCTCGTCACGCACTCTTCTCGAAAAGACCGTGTGACGAGCCCTTGCATGGGGCGTCTTCGTAGAAGGCTATCATTGCATAGACCTTGAAGAGCCCTACAGGTTGAAAAAAATGATTCTTTCTCTTAATATTTCTTTTTTATAACTTTATCAATAGTGAATGGATCCTGGAGTGAATGGAGTGATTGGGGTTCCTGCAGTCTCACCTGTGGTGAAGGTGGAATCAAGAAGCGCTCACGAGCCTGTACCAATCCTCCACCGGCCAACGGTGGACTGGACTGCGGAGGACCGCAGGAAGAAACGAGTGAATGCAACGTTATAGCTTGCCCAGGTAAATTGATTTGTCTCTAGCTGAGCGCAATGTGTATTTTTAGATTGATATCAATTCTAAAAGAATCTTAACAAACAGGCCAGAAAGATCACAATTTCTGGGCTACCAGAAATTAATAAGGTTAATAGATTAATGTTTTATGTTTTACGTTTGTACCTTAGAACAATTTTCACATGTACAAATTTATAGCTCTTATTCATTTATATATTCATTTATTTCTTTAACAAATATTATTATTTGAGTGTCCACAATTAGTTATCTAAGCTAAATACTAAGACACTTAAATAAAGTTCATTCATTCATAACAAGCGTGAATATAAAATTTGACGCGGAATTCTCCGCCTCCGACGGATGCCGTTACATATTTAAATTGTTGCTGTCACACAACTCCTTTCCTTTTGCTTTCGCAGTGGACGGAAGGTGGAGCGAATGGCAGAAATGGAGCGCGTGCACGAGATCGTGTGGCACTGGAATACAAACAAGAGCACGGACATGCGACAGTCCACGACCAGCTCACGGGGGCAAGCAGTGTCCGGGATCCAGCGGAGAGACACGTTTTTGTAACACTAATGATTGCCCAGGTACTGAAATTAATTGAAATGTTCTACAGTTAAAATGATTCTTTTATAAATGTTGAGTGGAAACAAAAATATAAAAGCACCTTCGGACAAAAAAAAACTTTATACAGTTAGTTACAGTGGCAAAATTCCAAGTTAAAAACAAAATTAATTTTTTTTCAGTCGACGGAAAATGGAGTGGGTGGAAACCATGGGGACCATGCACAAAATCTTGTGGTGGTGGATCACAGACCAGCTCGCGCACGTGCACCAATCCTCCTCCGACCAATGGTGGGGAGGAATGCAGAGGAGAGAATGAACGATCACGCGATTGTAATACTCAGCCTTGTCCTGGTAAGTTGAACGTCAGTTTTTATGGTCTTGATCGTAACAAAATGCTTGGTTTGGTTCAGGATATGGCAGTTTCCATTTTGCTTCATTCACAATTTGACTGAGATGCCAACGTAGGACATTCTATCCTTGTTTTCAACAGTCGACGGGAAATGGAGTGCCTGGGTCGAGTGGAGTATATGCACGACTTCCTGCGGCTTAGGGACACAGAGAAGATTCCGTTCTTGTTCCAATCCCCGCCCGACCTATGGTGGACGAGAGTGCATTGGGTCACGTATTGAAACAAGAAATTGTAATAGCGGCTCGTGCCCAGGTAACAAAGATGAGAAAATCTTTCAAAACATTTATCATCATGCATGTCAAAACCCTTTCAAATCTACGCTGCATGGCTAAAGCAAGTTATCTGAAAGTTTGGTTAGTAAACGTTCTGAAAAATCCGCTACATTGGAGCAGTAAAGATGGGTATTTTCCCTTCAAATTCAGCTGTAGCTACTAACTTGAAAGGGATCGTGGAGTACTATTCTCGACTAACCTGTTGGTATATTATTTTATTTATTAATGCTTCTGCCACTGGCGTACAGCCTGCTACCAAATATGGCATGTATAAACGTTGTGTTACCTCTCCGATACTTCCTCACTTGTTGAGATAACTAATGTTTGTCGGCTATATATTCACCGCATTTCGGCACACATCTAACCTAGGCATGCTATTTTCTCTATAGTGGACGGTCTTTGGAGTAATTGGGAAGAGTGGGGTACCTGTACAAAGTCGTGTGGTGGCGGAGTTCAGAGACGAGTACGGAGCTGCACAAATCCCCCGCCTGCTAATGGAGGCAGGGACTGCCTAGGACAAAGAGAACAGACACAAATCTGCAATCAAAATGCCTGCCCAGGTGACCAATCAGAAACCTTTATATTCTACTTACTAATTTTTTTTTTTTTTAATAGTTTTTAAAATCAAATTATAAATTGCAATTAAGGCTATTTAATTACAAATAAATACAATGATGCAAGAGACAGCAAACGAAAAAATGTGCCGGTGTACATAGGATCTGTAAAAGACCACGGTTGCAATTCTTGGCTTTCAGTTTGGGCTCTATCATGTCGTTGTCCCGTGAAGTTTTCTACGTAGTTATCAGCCTTGCTTCATTGTTATTTAATTACAAACACTGATCATGCACATGGAAATAAATGAAAATAAATTTATAAAAGCGAATAACCACAACAGCAAGAATTACAACTACACAGAAGGCGAAGTATAAAAAGAAACAAAATGTAAACATTAAAATAAACAAACACCTCCTTCTTTAAGAGGTCGTGTGACAAAATATGATAATTACGGCCTTTGGGATTTGGGACTTAGCAAAGGTAAATGAAATTTGAATACACTCTGCAAAGATAAATGGAATTTGAATACACTATTCTTTGCTCCCGAAAATAACTTCTCAAAAATTGAAGTTCACCTTTAATACTCTACTTTATCTTAAACTTGCCTTGCCTTAACCTTTCCTTACCTTCCACGTCTACATCATTTTAGTTGACGGTGAGTGGAGCAGCTGGGCAGAATGGACGGCCTGCTCCAGAACATGCGGCATTGGTGAGAAGAAACGTTCCCGAACGTGTACGAACCCACGACCAGCAAATGGAGGTAAAGACTGTCCAGGAGCTGGAGATGAAACTCGAGAATGCAGCAATAGAATTTGTCCAGGTTGGTGACTCTTCATAGGTCCTGTTACGTTCAAAATAACACGTTCGCATAACTCAAAACAAATTTTAAACGTGCACAACATCATGTGTTTCTTTTAGGTGTTTAATTAGGTTGCTTTGTATTAGTTCCGATTGGGATAGTCAGGCCTTCATGTACCACTCCTTGTGAATATCACACCACTTGACGCCGACCAGTTTACTCGAGGCTGTTTTTTCCTTATTGTTTATATCGTTTTTTTTAAATAGCGTGTGACATTTTCTTATATTCTCAGGCTTGTAACCTGTATTCAGCGTGTCTCAGATTCTTGTAAATAAACTCGACCATTGCCGGCGGCTCCCTCCACTATCTGTTGTATTACTTGTCTCCGCTATTTATAATACAAATGTTTTCTCTTCGGCTGAGCGAAGCGAAATAGAATAGAAACGGTAATAACCGCATGAAAAATTAAACCTGGTTGAAATAAACGATGGTATTTGAACAATATGTCAAATAATGTTGTTGTTTTCGTTGTTGTTATTTTTCTATAACAATTGGTCTGTTATTTTACAATGAACCTGAACCTGCTGTGCGATAAGTTCTAAATGTTTGAAATAATTTTCCGCGCAGTGGATGGCGAATGGAGTGATTGGAAAGATTGGTCACCATGTTCGACCACGTGTGGAACTGGAACACAGGAACGTGAGCGCACGTGTACCGAGCCACGCCCAGCTTTTGGCGGGAAAGATTGCGTTGGTGTTAGTCGGGAGAGCAAATCATGTCAAGGAATACCCTGTCCAGGTAAAGTCCTGGTTTCAGTATCCATTTCTTTCCGTGTTCAATATTTGCAAATTTCTCCGTGCAAGTGATCTTTTTGGAATATTAAAATGATTTAAATTTTCTTTTTTTTTTGTTTTGTTTTGCCTTCCAGTGGACGGCGGATGGACTGATTGGGAAGACTGGACACTGTGTTCGCGGACGTGTGGGACTGGATCGCAGGAACGTGTGCGTTCTTGTACCAAACCACGACCAGCTTTTGGCGGGAAAGATTGCGCTGGTGTCAGTAGGGAAACCAAGTCGTGCCAAGCGAGAGCTTGTCCAGGTAAAAATGACGTCTTGACATTTTCCATCGAAGCAAGATTCTCTGTAAAACGCCTTCACTTGACGAATATCTGTCGAGAGCTTACGTCTCTCTTTTTGTGAGCTTAAGTTTTCAATGACTGTGCATTGCCGCTGGTGTGCATTCTCGAACTCGGGAAGATGTTTGTTTTCATGGCCTCGTTGCTGTTTCTCCACAGTTTTAGTTTCTGAAGAAATGGAAGCGTGACGCTAACGATGTTCACTTAATTAATATAGTCGGGCTCTTCATCAGTTTCTAATTGAATATTAAAGCATTATGCATATATGTCACAAAGCGTTCATCAAATAAGCCTTGATGATAAATATGTGTTAATAACCAGCTCCAATACAACCTTTATCGGGGGCACTAGTGTTTAGCTTGTTAACATTTACAAAAAAGACTCAGTGGTGACGCCAGTTCCCTATATTAATTACGATGTGAACTTGTACCCTTTTCCCTTAAGTTGATGGACAGTGGAGCGAGTGGAAACAGTGGACTGAATGCACCAGAACTTGTGGTGGTGGAATTCAAACACGTGCTCGCACGTGCACAAGACCCAGCCCCGCCCACGGTGGAAAAGATTGTTTCGGTCGCGGAGATGAGACTAGACCATGTGGCACTGACTCTTGCCCAGGTAGAATGAAGTAAAAAGATACCCAATACGCGTTAAACGATAATAAAGTTTGCCATTTTAATGTCTCATACGGAGCCAACAGCGCAAACGGTTCGAAATCGCAAGTTCATTTTGGCATAAGTTTCAATATTTTTCTGTGTAACGTAATATAATTTTTACCGTAATAGCAAACGAGTGGAGGCGGGAAAAAGTGAAGACCCAGTACAGCGCATAACGGTTTCAAAAGGCAGAAAGCAGTAACATGAGATATCGTGGTTCCCGTTTGTACTTAAAGTATTATTTTTCTGATACAGTGGATGGCAACTGGTCGGAGTGGACAGAATGGAGAGAATGTTCCAGGACTTGTGGCGGCGGATTCCACTCACGCTCTAGAACCTGTACCAATCCCCCACCCCGGCACGGCGGAAAAGATTGCTCTGGGAAACCCGATGAAACTCGTCCCTGTAGCACTCAGTCTTGTCCAGGTATAAAAATGCACAGTTACTCTGAATGTTTGCTTCGACAACACCTGTTTCAACTAAGTTAGCAGCTCATATTTGGTAGCTGTTTTATCAGCTCGTTGTCGCTAACCGTTCGTTTTGATTCTAAAACAGTGGATGGCCAGTGGAGTAGCTGGACCGTTTGGACGGCATGCTCAAAATCATGTGGTAAAGGCGAGCAAAAGAGAACTCGTACCTGTACAAATCCACCACCAGCCCATGGAGGAAACCAATGCACTGGTCAAGCTCAACAGACGCAGGGTTGTAACGCTCAGTCTTGTGCAGGTATGTAATGGTGTCTATGAGTTTTAGTTTCAGGCTGTGATTGTCAGAGGAGCCTGCAGTTAAGAGAGCGACGTTGACAAGTAAAGTAAGGTACTGTGAAGATGACAAGCTCTTCCCGTCTTCAAATGAAGATTTGCTTTGACAAAAAAGGACTGAGGTTTAAGTTGTGTCTCTGTGTAAAAAAAAAACTGATATACGCAAAAAATAAAATAATTAGGTTTTTACAAAGATAATATTACATTATTCACCTTTTTGTTTTTCCACCACCATGCAGGGTGCTCTGAAATCGCTGACATTGCCTTCCTGGTGGATGCATCCGAAAGCATGACAAAGAAAGACTTTGAAAAGGAGAAAGAAGTTATCAAGAAAATTGCCGCCACTTTCGACGTCGGTAAAACCAAATCCCACCTCGGGCTCATCTCATTTAGCACCGACGCGCACATTCGCGTAAAGTTTGGGGACTATTTGGATCTGCGCAGCTTTCAGGACGCCGTCGACAAGATTCCATTTGCAGCCGGTGGCACGCGCTTTGACAAGGCGTTTGGCGAGGCGGCCAACGGGCTTTTCTCTCCCAATGGAGGAGTTCGTCCTGATCTTCCCAAAGTTATGATTATCCTTACTGACGGCAAGCAGAGCGCTGATTACGATGCTATACCGATTGAGAGGTCCGTACTTCCATTACGCCAGCTTGGCGTGCGTATCTTCGCGTTGGCGATTGGGAGTCAAGTCGACATGAATGAACTGCGACAAATGGTGAACGACCCCAAAGATATTAGCGCTTTTAAAGATTTTGATGATCTTTTAGATGACGTCAAAAAAGTTGGAAACGAGACTTGTGAAATCATTAAGCGACCAGGTAAGTCCTATGGGTTGAATAAAAGTGCAGTGTCTTACATCACGATAGGAACACCACAAGAAATGGAGGAATAAATTTCTGAGTGCACAAGTTTACGACTCAGTGCAGTGTTCTGACAAAACCTATCTAAGACCAGAATTAGAGCTTATTGCTCCCTCTAACTGCTTTCATTTTATAACTAAGGCTTCTTGGTCACCCGGACAGCTTTTGATACGTGGGAAATCCAAATGCTACTGTTTTTTTTTTATGACAGGAAAACTTCTCTACTTCGTAAATAAATTTCAGGTTGGAGCAGCCTTACAAACTGCTGTGCGTAAACTCAAATGGACCAACAACCCATTGAATTGGACTCGCGATCTGGAATATTGTTACATAAAGTGGTTAACGCCATATTTCGCAATTCATTTTACCTTTCAGAGGTGCTGTGCGTCGAAAAGGCTGATGTAGCATTCCTCATGGACGCGTCCGAAAGCATGACAGAGGATGACTTTGAGAAGCAAAAGAGCTTCGTAACAAAAGTCGCCGAGTCTTTCCACATGGCTCCCAAGACGACTCAGTTCGCATTGGTGACTTACAGTAGCAGTGCAATGTTGCACATCCGGTTCAGAGATCACTTGAATCAAGACACTTTCAACAAAGTTGTAAAACAGCTCCCATTCGCTGCCGGAGGAACACGATTCGACAATGCCCTCAAACTCGCAGCAGAGGACGTTTTCACCACGGAAAGCGGTGCGCGGCCGGGCGTTCCGAAAGTCATGATCATCCTTACAGACGGGCGACAGAGCCAAGATTACGATGCCATACCTCTTCAGCAAGCCGTCCTACCACTGCACCAAATGTCAGTGCAAATTCACGCGATAGCCATTGGCAGTCAAGTGAACCGGGTAGAACTTCGCAAATTGGTACGGAATGAGGAGGATATCTTTAGCATAAAGGACTTTGATACCTTGGTGAACAAGTCTCGACAACTGGCCAGTAAAACTTGCAACATTATCACCCGTCCCCCTCCAGGTAAATAACAATATTAATAACCAGAAGCTAAGAAAACCAGTCATTCTAGGATAAAAGCCCTATGAACATTAAAAATTCTAGTTCATTTTAAACTCATAGTTAGCTAAGGAAAGACATTTTGATACCACAATTTAGACCAGGTTATGTTTTCTTATGTCTTTGTTGTTGTTTGTTTGTTGAGGTTTTTTGAAATCCGCTTCCGTTTGACGGTACTTTAATAGAAACCGAAAATAAAGCCCTGAATAATTTGTACTCTTTGATCTATGCAACCTTTGACTTTAATTATTTCCCTCTCTTATTTCCCTAATCTTAGTTGTGAAATGTTCCGAAGATGCCGACCTTGCCTTCGTCGTCGACACATCAGGCAGCATCAGTGATAAGAACTTTCAAAAGCAAAAAGACTTCGTTAAAGTTCTCGCCTCTTCGTTCGACCCCATCTTAGCGGAACACCAACTTGGCTTAATATCATACAGCAGCAATACCCAGATGGAAGTAAGCTTTCAAGACAAAGCCGATCGAAAAGAATTCGAACAAGCCGTGGACCGTATCCCTCATACCAAGGGTCGAACACGTTTAGACAAAGCCTTAGAGCTTGCGTCCTCTCGACTGTTCACTGCTAGCGGAGGTACCCGTTCGGGGAAACGCAAGATCATGATAATACTCACGGATGGTCGGCAGAGTCAGGACCCGGATACTGTTCCCCTTAAGGATGCTGTACTTCCCTTGAGGCAGCTGGGAGTACGGATCTATACAGTGGCCATCGGTGACGAAGTGGATCTGAAGGAGCTGTACCAAGTCACGGAACGAAACGAAGATGTGTTTCCGGTCAGCGATTTTGATGACTTGGCGAACATGGCAAACGACATTGCGTTGAATACGTGTCGTGTTAAAGCTCCATCGCAAGGTAGATAAATCAGTTTTAGAGTTGAGTTTTCGTAAATGCAAAGAGAGGCACACATAGTTTTGGCTACGTGGGCTGCTAATTAATTTTTCTCTTTTTTAAGCAGAAAAGCGAGCGCCTTTTCACGGTGGAATCTTCAATTTTACTTTCTCAGTCAGGGTTGCTTAATTATAACTTGGATGTAGCAAGATCTCACTATTCTTTTCTTGGTTTTCTTATTTTTGTTTTCTAATCTGAACAGGTCAAATAAAGCTTTCTGAATGTCACTTTAAATTCGATATAGTTTATCGCAATTTCTTTAGCATTGTATGCAAAGTCTAACTGTATCAATTGTAAAAGTTATAAGCGTTAAACGTGTTTTAGACTTAACATTGCCTCGAGAGCCATTCTTTTCGATGCCAAAGGGAAAATCGTTTAATTCTCTTAGAAAAATGAGCTAAGCAATTTCTTTTTTTGATTTTCATTTATATCACTATCACCTATTTCCTCCAATTCTTTTTGGCAGGTCAATGCAAAGAATATATCAACTTAGCATTTGTGATGGACATGTCGAGCAGCATCACCTCCAAAAACTACCCAAAAGAAAAAGACTTTGTCAAGAACGTCGCAGACACGTTTTCCATCTCGCCAACCAAGACAGATGTCGGTGTCGTCACGTACAACCGAGATGCCAAACTGTGGATCAGTTTTGGACAGTACAACAACAACGAAGATTTCAAAAAGGCTGTCGACCTGATACCTTACTGGGGTGGCTCAACGCGCATCGACAACGGCCTAAAAATGGCCTCCGTTGAGCTTTTTGGCAACATCAAAGGCGAGCGCGCCAAGCTTCCTAACGTGCTTATTCTGCTCACGGATGGCAAGCAAAACTCGGATCCTCGAGCGACACCCTTGGAAGAAGCTGTTCTGCCGCTGTTTCAACTCGGTGTCAAGGTGTTTGCTGTTGGCGTTGGAGATGAGATTTCTCGCGATGAGTTGAGATTGATTGTCGAAAAGGACCAAGACATCTTCACAGTGGACGATTTTGATGACTTGTTGGCGAAGTCTCATCAAATTGCCCGCGCAGCATGTGACGAAGTGAAGGCAACTGAACGTAAGTGACCACTGGCGTTAGGCTTGTTGCTGGGGTTAAAAACAATCTTGTCCCCGGACTCTTTTCGGTCGTTCAAATCCAAGATGGCTGACTAGTCCGACTCTGACTGCCAACACTTTGTTTGTTGCTCACAATTGTGGGTGCGATAGTGTGTTTGTTTGCTAGTTTTGTCGAACTTAACGAGTACTTGAGTGATTGACTGCTTAACTGATTGTTCTGTCGCTTAAACGGATGACTTACCGATCACTAAAACTCCACTTTATGGCATCATAAGAAATTACAGTAAGCAATCAGTTTCCACAGTCCAAAACCCTCAATTTAATTTTCCAAAAGAAAATTATACAAATACAGAAGAATTGAAATTGTTGGAATTATACTTATAGTCTTCTTTTTCGTTTTTTTAGTCTCTTTACAAGGACTAGCTGGGACGTACCAATCCTGTTTCAAAAATGTCGACATCGGTTTCGCCATAGACTCCTCAGACAGTGCCACGTCAGAGGACTACCAACAACAGAAACAACTAGTCCAGCGACTCTCTTCTTATTACGATGTCTCCAAACAGGACACCAGGGTCGGTGTTCTCTTATACAGCGACAAGGCCTTCACTACTGTCGGAATGAACAGCTACAGGGACTCTTCCATTCTCAGACGAGCCGTGGGTGCTTTACCTCATCTCGGCGGAGGCAACAGAAAAGACAAAGCACTGGTGACTGCCAGAAGGATGTACAAGGCTAGACGACCATCTGGATCTGCACAGGCTACCAAAGTTTTGGTTTTTATCACCGAAGGTGCACAGTCGGGTGTAGCAGCTGATATGCTTCCTCTTGAACATGCCGTTCACCCGCTCAGAAAGCACGGAGTCCGAGTAATCGTGGTAGGGGTTGGGCGCCAGGTATTGTATCAGGAACTGAGGAGCATTGCCCAAGATCCTAATGATATTTACTTGACATCGTCATTGGACGACGTGGAAAAAGTAACGAGGGCGCTGATGAAGATCATTTGTAAGGTAAGATAAGATTTGAGACCTTACGTTGGCCATGATTGATCTCTTTTTATTATTATTATTTATTGCCACACACTTATAATATTTACAATTTGAATACATATACGTACATTAATTACAATTCTAAAACAACTACTTACTCTACCTACAGTAAGACATTTACTTACACTTCATTACAATACTTGTCTAATGCCTATCTACATATTACCCAAACGTTACATTACAGTAAGATTAATTTCTTGCTCACTCAGACTGTCAGTTCGAATATAGTTGCAAAATTGGATGAATCGTTAGAATACAGCAGTCATAGAATTGATTGTAAACCACAGGTATCTCTTATCTAAATCTCATTGCATAAACGCTGTCAAACGATATTATGAACAACGTAAATTTAGGAATTTGTATTGGAATCTAACTAACGTTTTCAGTAGCTAGAGACACGAAAAAGAAAATGAAGAAAAATGGCCGCCTTCCCTCTCTGTCTTTAGATATTTCTTATGTTGCTGAGGAGTTAAATCCGTTTTAAACCGATTTCAGCGAGTTTTAGCTTCACTGTTTTTCTCTCTAAAGAGAAATGATGTGTAGGGAATTAAGTTACCTTTTTAAAAAACATTTTTACGTCAAAGAAATTGTCTATATACAGTTGCGCTCAGTCGTTACACGATAACAAACTATCCCCTATTCACCCCTGACGCGTGTGTCCCCTAGACCTCCTGCTAAGGGTAGTGAGGTGATAGTTTGGGCACCAAAAAATGTCGTCATCTTTCCTTTGCAGTCGTTTAACAAGTTTTCGCAATTTTCTCTTCGCAGTCCTAAGATGACGCACGCAACAGACAATGTCAAGTGCCGAGTGGATTTCATTCACATCTGCTGGCGATTGGCCGGGACTGGACATTGCTCACAAAGTGATAACATTGATCCATTTAGAACTGAAAATACATATGTGGATTAGAAGCTCTGAACTAGTGTCAACCATATTGCTACGAAACGCTTCGCATCGCGCCATTCGGATGGAAGGTCTCGATTAGTTTACTTATTCACATCGTTTTGTTGGTTTTCTAAACTTCTTAGCCAATCAGCCAATTAAGTTTCTCCTCTTCTGGAATAAAGTCAAGCAATGGAGAAAACCAACATACTGATGTCTTAAATCAATCAAAACTTTTAAATCGACTGGAACGGTACCTCGTGTTTTAACTTGTAAATTGTAGACCGTCGTTACCAATTTCCAAATAGATGCAATCTGCGAATACAAGCAGATTTTCAGTAGAACTGAAAGACGTTACACTATTATTTATAAAACAAAGTAAGGGTTAAATAATGTTGAGATCATGAGAGAACTTTTAATAAAATTATATAACAACAGAAGTAAATTACCATTGTATTTCATTTCCTTTGTACTTGTCTAGCTATGTATTACATGTAGAAGCAAAACGACCGTCTGATTGCATTGTATCTCTGCGACTTATTAGTTAACATAACCGTAAGAGCATTTTTGAACACGAGTGTCGCCAGTTTGCTTTGGTTTTAGATTACCACGAAGCGACTGGCTTAAAATGCCTTTGCCACTTTGTCAGCCAATCAGAACTGAGTAAAACCAAAACCAATCGTGACTCGCTCGCACCGTTTTCCCGCGCATTGCGTCGGCTACATGTCTTTGCTTCGAGTTTTGATTGGTTCGCTGGATTGGCAGTGTACCTTGTGACTGGCAAGAGTGATTACTCCGGTTTTGGTTACAAGACACTCTAATTGGCTTTCTGTGGGGATTATCCCGGGGGATGATCTGATTGCATATGAAATAGCACCTCTGCCAAATTCAAGAGAATCGAATTTCAAAATAAGAAAATATATGTTAAAATTTCAGAAAATTTTACAACCCACACTGATGGACAAGACGGTTCATTAGCTCTGAACAAGATTTTCTCTCGCTCTTAAAGATGACCAGTTCGTCTGCAAACGTTTAAACCATTTTAGATATTCAAGAAATTCTAGAATGATAATTTATCCCCGGCGATACCAACGATCACTAATCATTCACTGCAGTAACTTTAAGAAGTTAAGGAAATTTTTTACACGAAACATGGCTTTGACAGGTAATATATATTACAGAAGTGTTAAAAAACAAGCCACTCAAATACTTAAAAATAATTTACAGATACAATGCAATGGGGTTTTGAATAATTTGTACTTATAATTAATATCGGACAGGCTTTTTGTTAATAATGTAAAAGTACGAGAATAAAGAATATAGATATTTGAACCAAACCTGCACTTCTTTTTTATCCAAATATTGCACATGGGAGTGTGCACACAAGATTCCTGTCTAAATAGGCTATTTCGGAGCTGGGTTTTGTCTAAACGAGTCTTCGAGCGAAAATGTGTTCCCGCTACAGGGTAAATTTCATGCGAAGGTTTTGCACGAAGACTGGTTTCGAAACAGTGGCACAAGGTAGAGTGTAATGGCATATTTTAGCCTCATTACACCCACCCACCTCGTCGCGAAAGCCCCAGGCTACGATATATTTTGGTGAATGTACAGTTGCCACCCAAATAACGCTTGCCGCCCGGCTAAATAACACTCACCGCCCGGCCAAATAACTCTTGCCGTCCGCCTAAATAACACTCACCGCCCGGCCAAATAACTCTTGCCGCCCGGCTAAACAACACTTACCGCCCGGCCAAATAACCCTTGCCGCCCGGCCAAATAACTCTTGCGGCAGAACTAAATAAGCCTTGCCGCCAAAATAACACTAGTACATATTGCATGCCTTCGTTTTAATTGGTTATTCCTCTCATCTTTAGCGTTTCAGGAATAGACTTCTTTAATTAGCTTGGGCGGTTTATTGCCCCATTTCAGACCATGTGACGATACTCTTGAGAATTCTCGCTTTAAAGAACAATACTCCAGAGAATATCACGTGGTCTGTCGTTAGAAAGACAGACAGACTACCCCGGGTGGAGGAGGGGGAATGGAAGAAACTGTTACCGCCCGACAAACTGACCGCCTAGACACGAAACTCTGCGCCTAAATGACGCTCGTACGTATTGTATGCCTTAGTTATTATGGGAATTCCTCTCATCTTTCGCGTTTCATGAATTTGTTGATGAGAAACCTAACAGGCTTGTCTATCAGTAGACAAGGAAACTACGATTGCCATTGCTAAGATGCCAGGGACTTAAATGCAGGAATGTTGAAACAATGCCACAGTTTTAATTAATGACATATTTTATTCAAAAAATTCATACAATTTTTATAAATAAACACTGAATTCTGGTTGCAAGCAAACTTGGGAATGAATATGCAAGAACCATTTTTATACACGATTTTTCAAATTCAACAATATTTAAAGCTCTATTTTTGCAAATGTTGGAACATTCACATTTCTCTTGGCCATGCTGGCGAAATATTATTTCAAAAATTTTGGCAAACATTTGCCAAACTTAAATTTCAATACAATTATTTTAAAAAAATGTTAAAAAAAAACCTAATCTACAATGAAGCTTAATTTGTAAAGTATAACTATCAATAGCAATGGGAACAAGAAAACAAGATAATCTTTTTGGTAGAACAATGAAGATTTCTGGAAGATTCAGAGCAATCATCTGAATGTAAATTGAAGCTTACTGTCACACAAAAATGCTTTGCAAGGGAGTCAAACTGTCTTTTCTTGGTCAAATTCGTGGTTAAGCTTTCTCCTTTCTCTCAAAGAATGTGGCAGGCAGCATGCCACTTTGCACACCTACACTCTCTACAGGCCCTTCAGAAGGTACAAAGTAAGCTTCATCTGCAGCTGGGACCTGTGGGCATATTCAAATTGGACGAAGACGGCCTTGGAGAAAGGAGAGAACCCACCAACGATAATGACGAGAATCACTTGTAACAGAAGTATAATGATGAGGATACGATGACAGTAGTCAACTACACCAAACTCTTAATTAAAGATCTCAAAATGCCAGATTGGGGTTTTCTTGCTCCTGTTGCCCCTAATCTAAATTACTTAACCAAAAATGTAGACTGAATAATGTATCAAAAGAACTTATATTAAACGATGTCCAAGTTTCACAATCTTTGTTGTAATAATTGTTGCACAACTTGACAATGAACTTGCACATCAATTTGCATTTTCTTTAAAATATTATATACTAATAGTGAACATTTGATTGCAAAGCAACATTTTCCCACACCGTAGAATCTTCCTCACTAAACCACAGCACTGAAAAAAAAATTCACTTAGCCTCCAGCCGCTCAACATAATGCTGCCTGAAAAAAAATAGCTTTACCCGACAGAAAATCACCAAAATGACCCGCTTTCTGAGAAAAAGGTGAGTAGTCCCTCAGGAGTCCAGGAGAAAATGTTTTTAAGTGCAAATACAAGTAAAATCAAATGGCAATGAAGAAAGAACACTGTAAAGGCATAAAACACATAGAGGATATTACATGGCGGCACAAAGACACAAATTTTATTTCTAAGTGGTTAGAACAACATTACATGAAGGAGTAAAACAAGTAAAATGTTGTTTTAACACAAGAAAATAAAATTCATATCTTCAAGCCACCATGTACTCTTCTTTTTATTATATAGAGACTAATTTTATTATATATAGACTAATCCATTGCTTGCCATTTTGACCGACCGTTTGCAAAAACAACCGTGAAAAAGGTAAGAAATGATGCAATTGATATCCTCACTACTGAAGATATGGAAATTATGCCACTTGGATCCCAGAAGTAGTTCCTCATGAATTTTACGAGCGGTGTATAGTAAAACACTAGTGTCTATATAATAAAATGTAATGCAATGAAATTCAATGCAAAGCACATGCCACAGAAATGCAATTATATTTACACTTACAAACATCATTGCATTAGTCATGGTCCTAGGAAAAAGCCCCAAACCTCTCAATCAACATATCAACCTTGTGCAGGTTTTTAGCCAGATGGGTGTCTGCGTGTCTTATTTTTCTTATGTTGCCTTATAAATTGTTTGTTTGAGCAGGCCCCATAGCACATTTTGGACGGCCACTTTTCAAATTCTGGCTAAAAGCCCGAACTTGCGCCTCCCACCCATGTCACGACATGCTATGTTGCAACATAAGGTGTGGGAATTATTTTGTGCAAATTATACACAAAGCTGCATAGTACAGTAGCAATAGTATAACAGCTATGATAGACAATAATTATTATCTTGTATGTGGATAAAATTGAATAAGGAATAACATTCTTGTATAGAGAATCTAGTATTAACAATAATTGTTTAGAATAGTATGTTTTTCATGGTCTTGATCAGTGAATGCCTAAGAAAAGACAACCCACAAGATTCTGTTCCTACACCCCAACTGATTGAAAGGGGCTTGATTGTGCTACATGTTAAGTTGTATTTTGGTAGCATGTAAAGTGGTCTTCAATTTGAAAAATAATAGTTTGCAGTGATAGTATTACACAAAAGAAAACAGGGATGCCAAACTGAAACATGCATGAATGGTCAAAACTAGAGAAGTTCAAACCAGACGGCAAAATACCACCAATGCCTTCATTTTTTGTCATCAATGCAGAAGAAAAGAAATATTAGAATAAGGCCAACCTAGCCCTCAAAACCATTCAAGTCCCAAGACTGATTAATATTTAATTCCTCCCTGCAATTTCAACAAAAGATCAAGAATTTAGGGAAGGAGAGTTATAATTTGTGCTGGGACTAGAAAGGTCCAAGTACGGTGGAACCCTGGCATAGCAAACCTTTATATAATAAAATCTTTGCATAATTTCATATCTAGTGGGAACTAGATTGTCGGTGTTGCAAGCAGAAGCTGAAGAATAAGCCAATCACAATGCTTGATTCCAGGCATTGCAATTGGTTGGTTCCTCCGTTTCTGTTTCCAACTCCAACAATCTAGTTTTCACTGGATCATAGGTGTTGGAGTCGTAAGTGGAATCGGAAGGAAATCTTTATGACCCGGCTTACGACTCAAATTTACAGTTTTCACAAGGTTGTAAGCATTCTTACAACTCTGACTGTGACTCCATCGCTAGTGAAAACCAGCCTTAATGTATTGCTTGCTGAAAGGTGCTCCCCAGAGCAGCCACCAACATCAAATCTTAACAAGCCATGCTTTGTTATATCAGGGTTTCACTGTACATAGTTTGAAAAGCAACAAGGGTTTAATTCACCTCATTTTTGGTGCAAAACTGCTTTTTCAAGCGGTGATGTATTTTCAAACTTGGAACATTCGCAGTCATCAATGACCGCTACTTCCTGGGTAGTATCAGAGCCCATGTCAATTCCACTGTCAGCTAATGATAGTGAGTCTGGGTCACTTGTAAAGGCAATCTCTTCACCTTGATTGATGCTCACTTCTGCGTCGCTGAGGTTTTCAGTGCTTCCAGACAAAGACACTGCATCAAAATTTTCAAAAGAGTTTTCAAACTGGTCATGTTCCTCCAACGTTGATTCTGGTGCACCATCAACATCTTTTTCTAACTCTTCCTGAGTCCACAAAGAGTCTGCTCTGTCACCATCAAAACTATCTGACTCCACTGATTGTCTTTCTTTTACCTGATCTTCGCTTTCAATATGATGGGAGAAAACTTCTCTCTCCTGCTTACTGTCATTACAACAGCTCTTTTGTACTCCATTATCATGTTCACATTCAGGTTTTGTAGACTGGAGAGCAGGTAATCCTTTAGAGTGCCTTAGTACAAGCCATCGTCTTGCACACCTTTGAATAACTGTCGCTGATTTCTTTAGCTTCAGAAATCTACGTCTTTCCCTGAACCGCTTGTAAGCAGCTTGTATTATTCTTACTGCATTGTCTAATACTGCCTCCTGGAACTTTTCTATTAGTTTGATACAAGCACTGTAGTCTTCCTTAGATTGAACCGTTTCTCTACTGTCATCACAATTGTTGTCATTGTAAACATTATGTCTACAGTCCACTAGATGCTGATTATTTGAATCTAGATTTTCTTGCTCCTTTGTTTCTAGGGAATCTGAACTAGTTTCAATGCCACCATCAACAGCTGAGTTTACACCATTCTCATCAACTTTACTTGCGTCATCTTTTGTATTTTCCCCTTGCTCTGATATTGGCTGTAGAGCCCTGGGGGAGAAAAAAAAAAATAGACAATCAATTTTTTAGACTGTTCACAGTCCCCTATTTTTCCGTGAGATCGTAGATGTCGATCATTGAGTTCGATGGGCCACCATCTTGGTCTCTTGATGCGAGCGAAACTGGGAGAGTACAAAATGCCCGTGGGTAGTGGCGGTGGGGTTAACAACGTGGGGGTGATGGGGTGGAAAAAATAGGGAGACTGTAACAGCTTCACTCCATCTGGTGTTCGCTGCGTTAGCTGCTCCAGCTACAACAACACCTGATTGGTCGAAGGGACAATAGAGTTCATCAAAGCGTAGCAGAGCGTTGACAACTTGAGTGACAGAAAGTGACTTTCATCACTTCGTGGCTCAGGCCATCGATTTCAAGACAGTTTTCTGAAGAATGTTCTGATTTTGATCGTCTGTCTGCTTCTTGTCTTGGAGGATTGGTGTTAAAGCGTGAGCAAAAGGAGGCCGTTTCTCGTTTACTCAAAGGAAAAGATGTTTTGGCGGTTCTTCCGACTGGTTTTGGCGAGAGTTTAATATATCAAAGTTTCGTTTTGGCGAAGGAAATGGCTGAAAGCTCCGTTGATTGTTCTTATTTCCGACTGAAATTTTACAGTTAATGCCACAAAGACGGCACGCATCTGAATAATTGGAATTCTCTGTGGGTTTTGCCGCTTTTTTTGGAGTCAGAGAAGAGTTCTTCCGTCCCACATTCATGCGACTCAACTTAGTAAACCTTCAAAATGTTTCGAAATTCACAACACAGTAACGTGTATTCATATCATCATTTCTGATTTAACAGGTTTTTTCCCAGGGGAGGAGATTGTTGATTGATTTGATTAACAGAGGCGCCAAACTGGCGGCCACGCCCCTTGAACATGAGACAGACTGAAGCTGTTACAGTCTCTCTATTTTTTCTGCTGGCTGTGCCCTCCACCACCCCTACCCACGGCATTTTGTACTCTCTCCAGTTTCGCTTGCATCAAGAGATCAAGATGGCGGCCCGTCGAGCTCAACGATCGACATCTACGATCTCACAGAAAAATAGGGGACTGTGAACAGTCTAATCGATTTTTAGGCTCATAATAAGTATGGGTTATTGACCAAGTGTGAGGTCGAGATGACTGGATATTGGCCAAATTCTTTTTTTGTGTGTTTATGGACCGAGACAGAGTTGAGGACCATAAACACGCAAAAAAAGAACGAGGCCAATATCCAGCCATCTTGACGGAACAAGCTTGGTCAATAAAGGATTTATTATATGGCCTTCAGAGAAATTTTGCTTGCAGGACACGGCGGGTAGTCCCGAGTGGGCAAGATAGCTCCCTCTTGCCCGCTCGGTTAGCCAATCACAGCGTAGGATTTGATTCATCTTGCTCGCTCACGGAGCAAGCCATATAATAAATGTACTTAACAGCTTTTCAGGCCAGAACTTAACACAACTCTTTTTTATGCACTTTCCTCTAAACTGTCCGGGATATTTGGTGACCTGTAAAAGAGAGACCAGGAGATTCGGTCTGCATTTGGGAGATTCTCGGATAATCCAAGAGAGTTGGCATAGATGCATACAGTCAAATAAAAAAGTGACAGGAAAGTATAAAAGAGAAAATCATTGGTGACATCAGCATGTCGGGATGCAGAGTGTCGGTATGCACAACAAAGAATTTCAAAATCAAGCTTACAGGAAATGTATGGAAATATCAGTAATGTGAAATTGCATTGTCCTGGGACAAAAAAAAAAGAAATATAAATTGCACACTGCTTCACTGTTATATAACGGGCATATAAGCCTACATCCGGTGCCTTTGATTTCTCATTTGATAACAAATATGTCTAACTCAACTTTGATTTGCAAAATTTTCTTCAATGTTCATGTGTTTAAGAGTCCCTCGACTGGATGCAGTTTGTTTGGAAACAACTCTGGTAAGCGACTGCCTTCATTAGGAGAAAACAATGGATATCCAATAATGCAAATCCGCTGTGTTGTTCAATGACTACACGTGTGTTTGGTGATGAGTGGTGAAACGCCTCTTGTCTCTCGTGCGGTACTCTGTAAATCCTTAGTGAATCATAACAGTGGGCGAAGGTCAGAGCGGAAAGTTTTTCACAAAAATTCTCGATACAATATATTCTTTCGGCGGCATGCGGCAAACTTAAAACCGAGCAAGACGTATAGATGTCTCCGCAGTATTAAACTAGAACGCAATCGATCTCTCGAAAATCGAATTTACAACGCATACACTAATACGAAAATGGTCTCAAAACAACATACAGTGTAGTTGGCCCTGATTACTGTTTTAAAATTAAAGTTATTAATTCTGACACTTCAGGAAGGAAAGTTGTTTAGCTTTTTGTGGTCGTGCGAACTATAAAATATGAATAGGCGATTGTTTAGTTTTGAGAATAAATGGTCAGGCGTTCAAGCATGGCAAAAAAATACCCAAAAATCAAGCCTCGGCTTGTTTCCTTTCAACTGAAGACATAACTCACTAGCGTTTTCTAATTCGATTTTAAGAGTATCATTGTTTACAGCATGCCTCCTCGTATATAATCTCCCATTTGGTATAGATTTTCGAGGAGCTTCTCCATACCTCCGATGTTAACCGCACAATTTGTAAGAGAGAGGAATTGAACGAAGGAAATCTACATGTAAACCATTTGTGCGAGGTGAAATGTATCAAAGAAAGTTCACCGAAAGGTTGCGAAATTTAAGTCGACAAGCCGAATCTTACAGCGAACTTGAACTTGACGAAAACATCTGCTTGCAAATGTTTTTTACTAGTGTTTTCTGCATACTAAAGAGGAAAATGCCTTAACGCCCATAATTAACAAAGAAATATTCTCCCGCAAAAACTAGATCCAAAACAACGCTTACACATCTAATTTTGAGTAGGAGCTTTGCGGATGATAGTGCTGTATACGTAAATTGTATTGATTAAGCTTAATGTTACACAATACTATCTGATGTTTGCCTCTGAAATCACCAGGGAGTTTATTTTCGTAAAATATAGTGTAAGTGAAGTACCACCGATTTGCTTTGATTGCCGCCAATCCAAGTAAAACTACACTCGTACGATAGCAGACTTACTTCTAAAAGATAAAATCGTGAAAACCTACCTGGTGAAGTATTTCCATCTCCACCTCCAGTTACACTGTTTTTGACGAAAACTGCGTTTGACAGCGGGAAAACACTTCACCGTACTCGCTTCCAGCACATTCGTTTCACCTTCTGGCGTGGAGGATTCTTCGTTTTGCTGTTTCTTATTTTCGTCCGAAGGAGAATTCATTGGCTTTCGCGCAAGCGATGCAGGATACTGAGGAACACGTGAGGGAAGCCAGGTTTATAAGCGTCTTGTTGTGCTCCAGAGTGTTCGAGGATGTTGACACAAATATTTCATACTGAATTCAAAACGTGACAGAGGAAGTGGGCTCCGGTGACGAACTTTGAACCACTTTGAAATTTGAGTATTCAAGTCCAGGCTTCGCTCATTCACAGTTGGCCGATTTCGGGGACAACATCCTGTCAACCTCAAGCATTCCTTGCACAGTAAGTTAGGACTTAGCAAAGTTGGAAAATAACTTATTTTATCTGTAGTTCGTGGTTACTCTACATTAACTTGAATTGAAACCAAGAAATTTCTTTATGAAACCAAGGAAAACGACGGAAATACAACTAGTTCCCAGCTCCTTACGCGTTTTTCAAGATGGCGGCCGGAGGACCGATGATTGAGGCAGTTATCGCTGCAATGAGTAAGTTTCTGGGCATAATATCTTTGTTGTTGTTATCATATCCGAAACCTTAAGACATATATGCTTTCGTCACTTCATTTGCGGGTTTATTAAATGAAAAACCTTGCCTCGTGACACTGCAATACTATAAAATGTTCTCTGTAAATATAAGAAAGATTATGCAGATTCAGAGTTATAAAAAGCAGATTACAGATATTATTAGCTCTGAAGCACTTCCTTTTGTTCTATATTCAACTGATAAGCGCACGCCTGTACCCGTTAAAATTCGGTATCCGGTCTTTTTGCCACCAAGTCAATTAGCCCCTAATCGTTTAGTTCTCACCCAGAAGCTACCTGAAGTCGAAAACACCGTCTTTTTCTCGTTCTTATAGCGTGAATGGGGGTTAATCGATTTCTTGTTGGAGGCTAACCGGCAAGGGGCTAATTAATGGACTTGAGGCCAAACGACTTGCATTCAATCTTTGGAACTCTGTCCGAGACGAGCGTTCTTCTTTGCGAGCCGGAGACATTTTGACTTTTCAAATTACAAGACCGAGACATCAAACTGAGACATTCAGATTCTATTCAAAGAGATGCACAGAGGCTAGTTATAAAACAAACAAATGAATCTAGACTCTGAGACTTTCAAATAATAAGTCTTTCAGAAAATTGAGACTCTGACACAGCTCTGTGGAAAAAAGGAGACTGTGAGACGCATATAAAAGCTAAAAAATGAGACTGCGAGACCTGTGAAATTCGATGAGAATTTTACAAGACCCACGGTTTTTGAACGACCATTCACCACCCCTTATATAAATTCTTCCCTTCGAGTTATCTCTGCTAGTGTGGTTAGTTATGTAACTTTCTAGATTGATTCATTGGCTGTCCATACATGTAAACATGTTTTTCCACTGGCTGTCAAGGAAAGAGATTTATATGCATCAGACAGTATATGCAAAAGCACTATTATATACTAATATTAATACATCCAGTAATAATAACATTTGATGCAGTCAAGCCTCTCTATTGGCAAACACCAAGAATTTTTGCTGTTATATTGTGTTATATTTTATGAAGTAAGTTAGAAGCGTGGGTTTCCAACATTTAAATGTAATTATGATCAGGGTTTGGTTTGCCTTAAGTTGTGACTTAACATCGTCCTTCAAAGGCGATTGGTTATGGGAGGTTTCACTTCTATTTTAGATCAATTAGGAGTTGCAGTTGAGGATAAGTCACTTGGGGGGGCTAACTTTGTTTACTAATAGTTATCTACACATAACTACATATTTCAGTTGACTCTTGATCATTGAGAGACTTAACCAGAAAACTAGTGAATGAACATTCCTCAGTCCCAGCATTGTTCGTCAGATGTCCTCTGAAATACTGTGAAAGAAAAAAAACTTATGGGGAGCTTGTGTAATTTCCACACAAGATTCTTTTTATTAGTGCTAACAAAAATTACTACACTCAAAGCAAGATCAAGTATTGTCAGTATATTTTGATATCATGTGACTAATTTATCTTTGCACTTGAACTCAATATTCATCTCATTATATTGGAATAATGGCTTGGAATGAAAAGAGGATGGAAGTCCGCCATCATTTTGGTTTAATTTTAGCGATAATATCATAAAAGTTGAATATATTTTGGACATATGTATCGTACCATTACTCAGTAAATTTTTATATGTGTAATTAAAGTGTTAAATACCTATTTTGGATAAATTGAGAATTTAAAGATGATCAACACTAAGCTGTATTGTATGAGCTTCATAAATTATATTAGTAAGTGTAGTTTGTCCTGCATGCTTTGACTACTCTCCTTTGCAGGAATATCCACTGTTTGACATTTGCCCTGATCGATCCAGTAGTTTTTTAATATAGTTATTACATAATTACAGTACATGTATCGTGTGCATGGAGTTAAAAATGATTTAAAGCTTGTCAGAGAGTGACTGGAACATTCAGTACTCAAGCTGTTGTCTTCAGCAAGGGGACATAATTCATATATAAAACTGCACCTTAATGTGCAATGTACACAGAATATGAATTTCAAAGTAAAATAATATATTTTAAATTATATAATCATTGATGGCTGCTTTTGAGAGAAGTAGTAATATCATGTCTTGATCTAGAGTGGTTTTCAATAACCCTTATACATGATGACATCAGACGAGCAAATTTCACCACTAAGCCTTGCTTTGAAAATGTAAAGTGTAAATTACAAATTTTATTGCGGACAAATTCCCAAAGCAGCAAAGATTAATGGAATACCCTCATGAAAACAACACAGGTTCAAAAAGCTTGAGAAAAAATTACTGCAAATGAGGCTTGGTGGTGAATTTTGAGCATGTGATGTAATCAAACATAAGGCTTATTGAGTGCTGTGAACTAAAATCAAGGTGAACACTNTGTTCTTATTTCCGACTGAAATTTTACAGTTAATGCCACAAAGACGGCACGCATCTGAATAATTGGAATTTTCTGTGGGTTTTGCCGCTTTTTTTGGAGTCAGAGAAGAGTTCTTCCGTCCCACATTCATGCGACTCAACTTAGTAAACCTTCAAAATGTTTCGAAATTCACAACACAGTAACGTGTATTCATATCATCATTTCTGATTTAACAGGTTTTTTCCCAGGGGAGGAGATTGTTGATTGATTTGATTAACAGAGGCGCCAAACTGGCGGCCACGCCCCTTGAACATGAGACAGACTGAAGCTGTTACAGTCTCTCTATTTTTTCTGCTGGCTGTGCCCTCCACCACCCCTACCCACGGCATTTTGTACTCTCTCCAGTTTCGCTTGCATCAAGAGATCAAGATGGCGGCCCGTCGAGCTCAACGATCGACATCTACGATCTCACAGAAAAATAGGGGACTGTGAACAGTCTAATCGATTTTTAGGCTCATAATAAGTATGGGTTATTGACCAAGTGTGAGGTCGAGATGACTGGATATTGGCCAAATTCTTTTTTTGTGTGTTTATGGACCGAGACAGAGTTGAGGACCATAAACACGCAAAAAAAGAACGAGGCCAATATCCAGCCATCTTGACGGAACAAGCTTGGTCAATAAAGGATTTATTATATGGCCTTCAGAGAAATTTTGCTTGCAGGACACGGCGGGTAGTCCCGAGTGGGCAAGATAGCTCCCTCTTGCCCGCTCGGTTAGCCAATCACAGCGTAGGATTTGATTCATCTTGCTCGCTCACGGAGCAAGCCATATAATAAATGTACTTAACAGCTTTTCAGGCCAGAACTTAACACAACTCTTTTTTATGCACTTTCCTCTAAACTGTCCGGGATATTTGGTGACCTGTAAAAGAGAGACCAGGAGATTCGGTCTGCATTTGGGAGATTCTCGGATAATCCAAGAGAGTTGGCATAGATGCATACAGTCAAATAAAAAAGTGACAGGAAAGTATAAAAGAGAAAATCATTGGTGACATCAGCATGTCGGGATGCAGAGTGTCGGTATGCACAACAAAGAATTTCAAAATCAAGCTTACAGGAAATGTATGGAAATATCAGTAATGTGAAATTGCATTGTCCTGGGACAAAAAAAAAAGAAATATAAATTGCACACTGCTTCACTGTTATATAACGGGCATATAAGCCTACATCCGGTGCCTTTGATTTCTCATTTGATAACAAATATGTCTAACTCAACTTTGATTTGCAAAATTTTCTTCAATGTTCATGTGTTTAAGAGTCCCTCGACTGGATGCAGTTTGTTTGGAAACAACTCTGGTAAGCGACTGCCTTCATTAGGAGAAAACAATGGATATCCAATAATGCAAATCCGCTGTGTTGTTCAATGACTACACGTGTGTTTGGTGATGAGTGGTGAAACGCCTCTTGTCTCTCGTGCGGTACTCTGTAAATCCTTAGTGAATCATAACAGTGGGCGAAGGTCAGAGCGGAAAGTTTTTCACAAAAATTCTCGATACAATATATTCTTTCGGCGGCATGCGGCAAACTTAAAACCGAGCAAGACGTATAGATGTCTCCGCAGTATTAAACTAGAACGCAATCGATCTCTCGAAAATCGAATTTACAACGCATACACTAATACGAAAATGGTCTCAAAACAACATACAGTGTAGTTGGCCCTGATTACTGTTTTAAAATTAAAGTTATTAATTCTGACACTTCAGGAAGGAAAGTTGTTTAGCTTTTTGTGGTCGTGCGAACTATAAAATATGAATAGGCGATTGTTTAGTTTTGAGAATAAATGGTCAGGCGTTCAAGCATGGCAAAAAAATACCCAAAAATCAAGCCTCGGCTTGTTTCCTTTCAACTGAAGACATAACTCACTAGCGTTTTCTAATTCGATTTTAAGAGTATCATTGTTTACAGCATGCCTCCTCGTATATAATCTCCCATTTGGTATAGATTTTCGAGGAGCTTCTCCATACCTCCGATGTTAACCGCACAATTTGTAAGAGAGAGGAATTGAACGAAGGAAATCTACATGTAAACCATTTGTGCGAGGTGAAATGTATCAAAGAAAGTTCACCGAAAGGTTGCGAAATTTAAGTCGACAAGCCGAATCTTACAGCGAACTTGAACTTGACGAAAACATCTGCTTGCAAATGTTTTTTACTAGTGTTTTCTGCATACTAAAGAGGAAAATGCCTTAACGCCCATAATTAACAAAGAAATATTCTCCCGCAAAAACTAGATCCAAAACAACGCTTACACATCTAATTTTGAGTAGGAGCTTTGCGGATGATAGTGCTGTATACGTAAATTGTATTGATTAAGCTTAATGTTACACAATACTATCTGATGTTTGCCTCTGAAATCACCAGGGAGTTTATTTTCGTAAAATATAGTGTAAGTGAAGTACCACCGATTTGCTTTGATTGCCGCCAATCCAAGTAAAACTACACTCGTACGATAGCAGACTTACTTCTAAAAGATAAAATCGTGAAAACCTACCTGGTGAAGTATTTCCATCTCCACCTCCAGTTACACTGTTTTTGACGAAAACTGCGTTTGACAGCGGGAAAACACTTCACCGTACTCGCTTCCAGCACATTCGTTTCACCTTCTGGCGTGGAGGATTCTTCGTTTTGCTGTTTCTTATTTTCGTCCGAAGGAGAATTCATTGGCTTTCGCGCAAGCGATGCAGGATACTGAGGAACACGTGAGGGAAGCCAGGTTTATAAGCGTCTTGTTGTGCTCCAGAGTGTTCGAGGATGTTGACACAAATATTTCATACTGAATTCAAAACGTGACAGAGGAAGTGGGCTCCGGTGACGAACTTTGAACCACTTTGAAATTTGAGTATTCAAGTCCAGGCTTCGCTCATTCACAGTTGGCCGATTTCGGGGACAACATCCTGTCAACCTCAAGCATTCCTTGCACAGTAAGTTAGGACTTAGCAAAGTTGGAAAATAACTTATTTTATCTGTAGTTCGTGGTTACTCTACATTAACTTGAATTGAAACCAAGAAATTTCTTTATGAAACCAAGGAAAACGACGGAAATACAACTAGTTCCCAGCTCCTTACGCGTTTTTCAAGATGGCGGCCGGAGGACCGATGATTGAGGCAGTTATCGCTGCAATGAGTAAGTTTCTGGGCATAATATCTTTGTTGTTGTTATCATATCCGAAACCTTAAGACATATATGCTTTCGTCACTTCATTTGCGGGTTTATTAAATGAAAAACCTTGCCTCGTGACACTGCAATACTATAAAATGTTCTCTGTAAATATAAGAAAGATTATGCAGATTCAGAGTTATAAAAAGCAGATTACAGATATTATTAGCTCTGAAGCACTTCCTTTTGTTCTATATTCAACTGATAAGCGCACGCCTGTACCCGTTAAAATTCGGTATCCGGTCTTTTTGCCACCAAGTCAATTAGCCCCTAATCGTTTAGTTCTCACCCAGAAGCTACCTGAAGTCGAAAACACCGTCTTTTTCTCGTTCTTATAGCGTGAATGGGGGTTAATCGATTTCTTGTTGGAGGCTAACCGGCAAGGGGCTAATTAATGGACTTGAGGCCAAACGACTTGCATTCAATCTTTGGAACTCTGTCCGAGACGAGCGTTCTTCTTTGCGAGCCGGAGACATTTTGACTTTTCAAATTACAAGACCGAGACATCAAACTGAGACATTCAGATTCTATTCAAAGAGATGCACAGAGGCTAGTTATAAAACAAACAAATGAATCTAGACTCTGAGACTTTCAAATAATAAGTCTTTCAGAAAATTGAGACTCTGACACAGCTCTGTGGAAAAAAGGAGACTGTGAGACGCATATAAAAGCTAAAAAATGAGACTGCGAGACCTGTGAAATTCGATGAGAATTTTACAAGACCCACGGTTTTTGAACGACCATTCACCACCCCTTATATAAATTCTTCCCTTCGAGTTATCTCTGCTAGTGTGGTTAGTTATGTAACTTTCTAGATTGATTCATTGGCTGTCCATACATGTAAACATGTTTTTCCACTGGCTGTCAAGGAAAGAGATTTATATGCATCAGACAGTATATGCAAAAGCACTATTATATACTAATATTAATACATCCAGTAATAATAACATTTGATGCAGTCAAGCCTCTCTATTGGCAAACACCAAGAATTTTTGCTGTTATATTGTGTTATATTTTATGAAGTAAGTTAGAAGCGTGGGTTTCCAACATTTAAATGTAATTATGATCAGGGTTTGGTTTGCCTTAAGTTGTGACTTAACATCGTCCTTCAAAGGCGATTGGTTATGGGAGGTTTCACTTCTATTTTAGATCAATTAGGAGTTGCAGTTGAGGATAAGTCACTTGGGGGGGCTAACTTTGTTTACTAATAGTTATCTACACATAACTACATATTTCAGTTGACTCTTGATCATTGAGAGACTTAACCAGAAAACTAGTGAATGAACATTCCTCAGTCCCAGCATTGTTCGTCAGATGTCCTCTGAAATACTGTGAAAGAAAAAAAACTTATGGGGAGCTTGTGTAATTTCCACACAAGATTCTTTTTATTAGTGCTAACAAAAATTACTACACTCAAAGCAAGATCAAGTATTGTCAGTATATTTTGATATCATGTGACTAATTTATCTTTGCACTTGAACTCAATATTCATCTCATTATATTGGAATAATGGCTTGGAATGAAAAGAGGATGGAAGTCCGCCATCATTTTGGTTTAATTTTAGCGATAATATCATAAAAGTTGAATATATTTTGGACATATGTATCGTACCATTACTCAGTAAATTTTTATATGTGTAATTAAAGTGTTAAATACCTATTTTGGATAAATTGAGAATTTAAAGATGATCAACACTAAGCTGTATTGTATGAGCTTCATAAATTATATTAGTAAGTGTAGTTTGTCCTGCATGCTTTGACTACTCTCCTTTGCAGGAATATCCACTGTTTGACATTTGCCCTGATCGATCCAGTAGTTTTTTAATATAGTTATTACATAATTACAGTACATGTATCGTGTGCATGGAGTTAAAAATGATTTAAAGCTTGTCAGAGAGTGACTGGAACATTCAGTACTCAAGCTGTTGTCTTCAGCAAGGGGACATAATTCATATATAAAACTGCACCTTAATGTGCAATGTACACAGAATATGAATTTCAAAGTAAAATAATATATTTTAAATTATATAATCATTGATGGCTGCTTTTGAGAGAAGTAGTAATATCATGTCTTGATCTAGAGTGGTTTTCAATAACCCTTATACATGATGACATCAGACGAGCAAATTTCACCACTAAGCCTTGCTTTGAAAATGTAAAGTGTAAATTACAAATTTTATTGCGGACAAATTCCCAAAGCAGCAAAGATTAATGGAATACCCTCATGAAAACAACACAGGTTCAAAAAGCTTGAGAAAAAATTACTGCAAATGAGGCTTGGTGGTGAATTTTGAGCATGTGATGTAATCAAACATAAGGCTTATTGAGTGCTGTGAACTAAAATCAAGGTGAACACTCAGGCCAACCTCAAAGGACACAGAGAATACATTGAACCAATCAAAACTCAAAGCTAATACATGTAGCCAAGAAGTATGGGAAAACATGTCAGAGCAAGTCGCAATGGGTTTGCTTTTACTTCTGATTGGATGACAAAGTGGCTCAATAACTAATTTTACTAACTGATTTTTAGTGACAAAAACATCTTACAGTTGAACCCTGCTATTTCAAACTCTCAAGGGAAATGATAAATGGTTTGAAATAGTGGTAGTTGCATTTGAAGTTACCAGGTCTTTGCTGGTAAATGCAGATGATGCAGTTACAGTTTTATTTCCCAAGGGATGCCTGTGTTTTTTAATGGGCCTAAGAAGGGCGAGAAAAGAACAACTGTGGACAAATTTGATTGCAGTACAAGATGAAGTGCGATCATAATAAGTTCCAGCTGTATTCTGATATAGTCTGGTGTTTATCTAAACTCCACTTTTTAACTTTGAAATAAACTAGGTTGATTAAAGTGAACAAAATTACTGTAGTTCAAAATAGTGAGGAAGTGGACATGATAGAGTGACAAATAGCTAGCATTAAATGACTGAAAAAAAGGGTAAATTTCAGGGAAATTGGTTTAAGTTTGAAATAGTGTGGAGTTTGAAATAGCCATGTTTGAGTCAGGGGGACTCAGTTGTGAATAATATGACATCTATAGGCTTTGTGCAAACCAAACTAGAATTGTAGACAACAAGGCTGTTCAACTGAGAGACTTTCTTGTTTTAATTATTCTTTTGTAAAATTAAACCTGATTGAAACATACAACATTATAATATTTAATTATTTCAGGTCATTTTTACCCATCTCACAGTAACTCATAAACTCTTCAAGTTATCAGGAGTTTAAGTGTATATAAAATTTAGACATCAGTAACTTTCCAAAACCTTTATGCCAAGCTTCACACTGATATGGTGCCTGTGTCAGGGGCAGGCTTTGACCCAATATTTTTGTGCTATTTTTGATTAACACTCTCAAGTATGGTTAATGTAAATAAAGTGATATGTTACGAATTCCAATGTGGAAACAAGTGATATTGATAAAAATTTTGCTTTTGTTTAGTTCTTGATCTATATCGATATTGCTTGTCTCTATAGTTGCCATGTTGTGGTGGAAACAGTCTGAACTTATATTTTTATTTTGATGAGGAGCAACCTTTTCATTGTTTTCACTGTGCCTTTGAATAGCATGCCACTGTCTGACTGGCATTTAAAAGGCAACTAACAAATAATTGGCATGTTTTTGCTTCCCTGTATCCTGATTACAACGGCATTCAACAAACCTTGAAAAGGGTGACAAACAAAATGGATCTGAATCTGCTAACCACAACCCACTGACCTTTTGAACCTGTTGATGTGAGCTTTGCTTCTGTTTCTTGAGAGGTGTGCTAAAATGACCGATAGCAGTAAATTAAACATTGTCTGTCGAGTGTAAGTTGAGGTAATTTAAAGGAAGAGGTTTTAAGAGATGTTGTGAAAAACCTTGTGCTTATAAAATGCTGTTTTGTTTGTACATATAATGCAATATAGACACTGAACAAGGGGTGTGGCCTGAAAATGTGGAGCTGTATGAACCCTGCAAAGGTATATTTTATTTTACAATAATGTTGCAGTCATTATTTGCATCTGAGTGTGAACACACATTGGAAAAACATGATCTAAATAGGTGTCAAATGTTGCATGATTCATCGTTAATCATTTGAAGTGTGACAGACTGTACATAACACAAACTTCCATGCTCAAAGTCCAACACAATTGGTATGTTTTTGTCGAGTTGTCAATAATGTTCTCAAAAAAACTACTGACAGTAGCTACTTCAAACTTGGATTTCAAACTTGGATTTCCTAGTTTGAAGTTTCGTCCTTATTTAGTGAAAACATTTTCACAAAATAACATTCAATGATACCAATTGTGCTGGACTTGGGGCACAAACATTCACCGTAACTGGTGTGCCAAACTTCAAATGATTGATGAAGAATCATGCATGATGAGGAATGATGTCTATTAGGTCTATTTTTTTTTTCATGTTATGTTTACACTTAGATGTAAACAATGGTAGTGTAATCTTTAAATGGTTGTCTGTATTCCCCGGAGGGGGGGGGAAGGGGATACTCCCAGAAAAGTTGGGTGGGGGTGTGTGGCCCACTTCCCAAAACCCTTACCTTATTTATGACCAAAATCTGTGATATTCCCTACCCCATTTATGACCTGACCAAATATTTGATACCCTATTTATGACCTGACCATTAAATCAAAACCCTGTTTCAGACCTGTGTTATAATAAGTTCCCTATTTCAGACCAATGTTGAATTACCATAAACATAATTTGTGGTGGGCTTTTGTTAATTTTCTTTTCGATAATGATGAAAAAGTGGCTTCTTCTTAAAAACATACCCATATCTAGGCTAGAGTGCAAAAACCATACCCTATTTATGACCAAAATGGCCAAAATAGGCTAAAATTGATACCCTATTTATGACCAAAACGGCTGAAAAACCATACCCTTTGGGGCCGCACATACCTATATAGCTAATATAAGGATAAGGGAGTACCCCCCCCCCTCCCAAAGCAACCTTGCTTCTGCAAGGTGACAAAGAGTATTTTTACTCCTTGTGGATGTGATGCTAGGCTATAGCAGGGTTTCCTCTCAGTAATACAACTGGCACCAAGCTGCCACCCACACGGAAACCAAGTGGGAAAGTAAATGAGAAAGGCCAGGTAAAACACTGAGGGGAATGGTGGAAAGAGAATGCACTGAGATTGAACTAACATCATGGGCCATAGCTGCAGCTGTGGCCAAGAACAGGGACAAGTGGAGGCAATTCATTGCTCACCCTATCCTCAACCTGGGAGAAAGGAACTAAACTATAAAGTTTGATGGTATATTTTTCCAATTTTTCACCTGGATGGAGTGAGGCACTGTGAAAGTAAAAGTGCCTTGCCCAAGAACACAACAAAGGGACCCAGCTTGTACTCAAGGCTAGACTACTTAATCTGGAGTCTAGTGTAGTAACCATTAGGCCACTGTACCTCCATCATCCTCAGAGACCCAGGGGCTGCTAGTCAGGATGATGCTATATTTTTGGGCGAGCAATATTTTCGGGCGAAAGTTCCGCTCTTGAAGTAAACTTTTATTGCTCACCCAAAAATATCGCATTGTCCTGACTAGCAGCCCCTGGGTCTCTGAGGATGTACTGCCCTTTAAATGAAGGATTGACTTGTTAACAACTAAATAAATAAATAAATAAATAAATAAATAAATAAATAAATAAATTTTAAATGAATAAATAAATAAATAAATAAATGAACATAACAGGACTCCCCTCTTCTTGCCTCCTACAGATACCATTCTTTTAACAGATGCTGCCAGTTGTAAAAGTACAGAGGTAAAGTCTGTTGTTATTTATAACTATAACAAAATTATAAATAAGAAATTAAAGTCTTACTACCAAAACAAAGTGCTCAATGCTTTAAGGCAGAGCTATAGTATACAGAGGAGGAGGAGGAGGAGGAAGCGCAGTGACCTCATTGTTAGTGCGCTCATCCCCAGATCGGGCGGTCCAGGTTCGAGCCCTGGGCGGGGACACTGTGTTGTGTTCTTGGGCAAGACACTTAACTCTCACATTGCCTCTCTCCACCCAGGAGAATGAATGGGTACTTACGGATTGTTGGGGAAACCTAACAAATTGCAGGGGAGTGACCTGTGATGGACTAGCATCCCGTCCAGGGGGAGTAAAAATACTCCTAGCCGCTTCATGCTACAGAAACCGCGATAAGCTCTGGCAGCCATGACCCAGTTGGCTCCAAGGCTTCACTATTTTTTTTATAGTTTACAGAGAAATCATAAAATTATAACAAAAATTGTAAATAAATTACAATTTTTCATTTGGAAAGCCATAGCCATCTAGTACATGTATCACATCCTGGGAGATTTGGAGACATTTCAATTTTCGTACTTAAAATAAGGTAACTGCTATTTTTAATCTACTATGCCAATCGATATCATTGACAGGCTTACCTAAGATTCTGTGGATTAGCTTATGGCGTAAAGTCCAGACGGAATGCCGAATTTATGTCTCCAACAGGTAAACAGATGAAAAAGTTAAAAATAAAACAAATTAATTTAAAAAAGGAATGTAAAACAGCATACAGGTAAGTTATGTGAACGAGGAAGTTTGTTTTCTAAGTCAAATGCACTAGTCAGAGGTACATCCCAGCTTCATGTCGTTTCAAACATAGGACCTTTAAATACTTGAATCCATCCTAGTCACATAGAACTTTGGTAAGCTTAAAAAGCTCTCTGGTTCAGTTGGCCTCAATGGAGCAAATTCAAAAATGGTTATTCCTCTTTTAAAACTAATTTTCATGAGTAACACTTTCAATGGTGTTGCAGTTGAACCTGTCTAAATGGACACCTCTGTAATAGACACCAGCCTAAGGTCCAACGGAAACCACACACAGACAGTCATCTTGCAGCTCTTTTGGTGTCCATGTTAAACAGGTTCCACTTTATCAAATTATGTGGCTCACACATTTGACTTGGACTAGAATTATACTGGGGCTTAGATTTTGATTTCACCCAAACACAAACTTTCCTGTGTTTGTAACGTAGCCTCTTTTACAAGCTTTATTATATTTTATTGTACGTTCAAAAGAAAGTATTGTATTTAACAATTGATTCACCTTTGGCATTCATCATCGAAGGTGATGCACTTGGGAAGTTTGAAGTGCAAAAAAATGTGTAAGGGTTGCTTGTGGTGCAGCTCACTTTGCCCATGTCACAAGCAAGTATCATTAGATTATGATGGCACTGTAAGTAGATAGTGTGGCTTTATGAGCTAAATGTTATAATTTCTGTTTTAAGGTAATGTTCCTTTCCTGAGAGCAGACAGGGAGCTTACTGGTAATTTTCAGGGAATAACATCTTATATTGAGGCCAAGGTAAGTAAGTAAAATCTAGGTATTTTTTCTCCACCCTGGATGGTATGTGAGTCCATCAAAGGTTTTGGAACTGAATGGCATCTTAACATATTAACCTGGAACTAGCTCTTAAATTGCTAGACACACTGAGTATTATTGATATTATTGCAAAACTTAAGTTGTTTTTACTAGGCATGGTCCCCGGTGTCTCTGTCATCATTGCTTTAACTCCTTATCATGTTCAATTTATGTTCATTCGCTGCATGGAATGTTGACAAGAATCATGGGTGTGTTTCGACAGGGATTCTCCACAAGTGCAGACATGGAAATGCAAGACAAAGCTGAAATGGAGGCATACATATCATTGATTGAAAACTCTCTCCTGCCAGCTGAGGTAATCAATCTGAAACATAGGACCTGTGTGATATAATGTGGTAACAATATAAATTTATATTTTATGGCAAACTGGTCCACAATGGAAAGCTGAGAATTCTGACTGGATCCCTGAGTGGTCCAAGTTTTGCAATTCTAATTACTAAGATGGACCATTCATGAGAAAGGTCTGGGGAACTGCTTTTTGAAAACATTGCACACAAGAGAAATAGCTTGTTGTTACCTGTAATCACCAGTGGGAAAGAACTTTTTTTTCTTCATGTTTGGTGAATAATTTCGTGTTAACTATCACAAAAGTGGCCTGAAAAGCAAAGCAGATTCTTAACTATGGCACACATGTTAACCAAGAATAGAACATGGGGATGAGTTAATTTATCAGCAAAGTCTTAAAGGAGGCATTATAATAAACTATGCTTTCTGGAACTAACTTGTGTGGTCCATTGCACAAGACCCTTTGCTTACATAGTGGCTCTCTCCACCCAGGTATACAAATGGGTATGGTGAATTTAATGCTGAGGGATAGCACTGCAATGGACAAGCATTCCATCCAGGGGGAGTATAAAAGACTCCTAGCTGCTTCATGCTACAGAAATCGGGATAAGCTTAGGCCTGATGGGCCATTTAGCTTGTATGCAGACTTTACCTTTACCTTGTGCGGTTCATATTGACCAATATTTTCACAATACAAACCTTCCGCTGGTTCAATAACATATATCTATATTGTAAACACAGGAAAAGTAAATTAAAGTTCAGATTGCATCTGAGTATGAGTGCCATAATGCTTAAACATGGGAATTTTTCCATTAATGATGGTTAGTCAATTATTTTTACAGGTGTATTTGTCTGATATCCCATTCTCACCAAATGTTGTTGAAAGTTAAACATGCCTGAGACATTTTGGAGTACAGGCTGGTAAATCAAGACTAGTTTCCCATCATCTTAAAGATTTTCAAACTGGCTATAACCAAACTGGTTATTAGTACGTTTAGGGGTTTAGTTTGGTGTGAACCTGATTCTTTTCTTGTAATGTTACATTCTGTCAAATGTTTGATTTCTTGCACTTTTTTAGCTTTACATGTTATGGTGGAAGAAAGACTGGGCGGCACGAACAAGGCAGCAGTATGGCAGCCAGTTTCCTGTTCCTATTAACCTTGTTCTCAGCTACAGGAAACAGTGGCAAGTATGTCAGTATCTGAAGGCTCATGGCTGGCATCGTAAGACAGAGAGAGAGGTACAGTGACCTGCAGTCAAAGAATGGATATGGGTTATGATGTTCTACAAATTGAGGTTTAATTAAAAACTGGCATTCAATCTAAAACTCAAAAATACAATGTCTCTTAGGTACTGATCACCTTGTTTATTGTGTTGTTGACACTGTTAAGTTGATGAGTTTTTTGATTGTTTACGATGTATCCATTTTGCAAGGTAAAATGTGATTCTTTTTATGAGGAACGTGAATAGGCTTTTGAAACTTGGCCAAGCTTTGTATGGCCATACAAACACCCTTATGTACAGAATTATGGAAAACGAAAATTTTTCTTTTACCATACCTGTAATCATTATTTCATTATTTATGGCTGATGCATGACTCCAAAAGACTAGCTCTGATAATTGTTGAAACACTGCAATCACTCTGTTTAATTCTTCTCTGCCTGGTCTTATACATCCAAAAGGTTTCTTTTTTGGTTACTAGGAAACAAAATAACCTCATCAGAGGTACACGCATTGTAAATGTTCGCATCGTAAATTGAGTATTACTGCATTGAACTTGTAGCCGACGCATGTACGCATTCCGGACCTATTCTTTTGATTTACATGTTAGTTCTTTCTACAGGTTCTTGAAGAGTTTAAGCAGACCTGCCAGGCTCTTTCTGAAAAACTTGGAAATAACAAGTTCTTCGTAAGTGATAGGTAAGGCAGCCTGGGAATTCAGGGGTCACTTCACAATAACAGCGTTAGCCTGCAGTGCAGGCGTCTTATTGGGGCGAGTTAGCGTTACAACCTTGCGACCGCCTTTTTAGACCGCCTATCATTCACCCCCTTGGTAAAACTTTCTTTCTCTCCCCAGTCTTCCACTGCATGAAAAATTCAAGAAGGCGGCTAAACTTTTTACGATGTGAGCGCTCGCTCGAAAAAATCTCGCCTGCTCTGCAGGCTATAACAACGTCAATGCCGCCTTTCTTTCTTTTCTTGCAAAAGACAAAGAAATAAGCCTACAATATCCATCTGTACGGGAGAAGCCAGGCAGCCAATTAATTAAAATATTATGTCAATAAACCATGTAAGGTGTCTAGTGGTCACTGAATTCTCCCTACCCTGTATCATAGAGACCGTTCTTGTTCCCAGAGCCTCTCATTTGGTCACGTAGACATTTTAAAACGGGTAGCACTGGGGACGAAAATGACATGGACCTTGAGCTTTCTTTACTGCGCAAGCTTGCCGTAACGATCGACTTTGGACAGGTCCGTTGCAGGCTCGATTTCGATTGGTTAGACGCAGTAAAACAGTGTTCAGAAGTGAAGACCAAGGAGGGAACTCGATTAAGCCATGTGTTTAGTAGTTAGGCGTGATTACTTCTTCGAGAAGTCAGATATTTTCGGACTTCGAATCAGAACTTTGCAAGGTGGCTCGCCTCTCGACTTCTAGACAAGGGAAACGGTTATGAAAGCGTTTTCGGGGATTGAGTAAGTGTTTTGAGTATGCGCATGGAATTGATCCTTGACGCTATCTTCTCACCGTCGAGCTGAACCCTAATATGATGCGGAGAAAGGAGAGTTCATTGATTTGGATTAGATACCTTTCATGAAAAGATCAGCAAATAGAAGCAAAAGACCTTGGGAAAATTCAGAGGCATTAGGGTAGCGGGTTGTCTTGCCTTGAACCATAGTTCTACTAACTATGCTTGTACCAATTATTTTCATCATTATTTTTTTTTTCCTCAGGCCAACAGAGTTAGATGCATTAGTATTTGGTCATCTCCATGCAGTCCTGACCAGATATCTCCCTGACGATTCTCTCAGCTCTGTCGTTAGAAATCACAGAAACCTTGAACACTTTGTCATGAGGATCTTGAACGACTTCTTTCAGTAACTTCAGGAAGCTCTGTTGTTTCACTAGCATTTTTCGTACTGGGATGTAGGACGAGAAAGGAATGAGATGACAAAGCCTGGTTGTACAGAGCAAGGGAAACGCGTCGTGTCGCCTGGAATACGATTCACCCGGACTCGAAGTCCATTCGAATGGTCAGCTAACTGGTCCCTAATAAAGCAATTTTCAGTTACGATTTCTGTTGATATTGCTTTCCCTTCAGTTTTAATACTTCATGAAAGAGTAAATGTATGAAATATCATATATTTGAACTGCGGAGAATGAGATGAAGACCTGATTGATCATCGCAGTTATACACAGTTAAAGCCTGAAAAAAAACTCAGGCTTGAATTTGTGTGTATAACTGCGATGTCAATCATGTCTTCAACTTTTATGAGAGAGAAAGGAGTGCTTGGAGTAAAGTATAATATAAATACTGGATTAGCGACAGGGGCGTAACCAGGATTTTTCCAAGGGGGGGGGGGGTGTCACACTGTATCAAAGTGAGGGTACTCACCAGATTGTCATGTCGTTCTCGCCACCTGTTGTAGGTTTACAAAAGGGGGGTCACGGGCACCCCAGGACCCCCCCCCCTAGCTACGCCCCAGAGCGATAAACGCGGCTTTCAAGTTACCCCTTAAAGTTGACTTTTTTAAAAAAATTATCAAAACTTCTTCCGTTAGAATAGCGCGCGACATAGAACGCATAAACCCACGTTAGATTTTACTTTAACAGCTTCTGTTGGGATCAGGCAGTTTATTATAATCCTAAATAACAATACATTCACCCAATACAATAAGGTTAAAGATGAAGGGTTTGTCACTGGTTAAACTTGATTGTATGTCGATTCGTGAAATTTGACACTTCTTTCCTAATTGGCGTGTAACTCAACTCCTCGGGGGAGGTCCCATGTGACAGGGCCACGGATGCGAATCCGAAAACTCACTCTACACCCCTAAAGGATGTGACTAAAGCCTTATTTATTTTACTCCTGAAAGATACTACTCCGAAAACAACTTCTCGCCTGCTCTGTCTAGAATTTCTCGGCGTGACGGTGTGTTTTACTTCTTACTTTCACGGCTAAAAATATATTTTTTTGCGCTGAGCACCATAACAGATACCAAGGTCTGCAATTTACGCCACATCACTGGAATCCTCTCTAGTCTGCCACCAGGCGCCCTGTGGGCCCCGATCGCTTCACTCTCCGAAACTTTTTTCCGTCCTCACCGCGAGCCTGTTCGCAGGCTAAATCCTCTCCCGCCCTCTCCCGGACTCAACCACTGCATGCAGCATCCAGACATAGTTGAATATGCCGGGGTTTAGCCCCACGAGCAAGCGAACTTGTCATCGAGATATTGACTAGTTCTTATTGTCTCATATGTAGTCCAGTGTAACGGAAAAAGCTAACGAAGAAGGGATTTATATCAATCTATATAAGGACCCGAGGGTTTATATGAACCCCGCGATGGAATGCGATTCAATTCTTGATGCATCGACTCGCCCATGATAAAAGGAAGGATATGCTTTACTGTGTACGTGGTCAAGCTAATGGCCGTACTAGAAAAGTAACCTCTGTAGTACTAGCCTGCGAACAGGCTCACGTTGGAGCACAAGCACGCGCGAAACCTGTGATTTTGCGACTTTTCTGTTGTAACAATTGGACGAAAACCTTTTCCCTCTTCAAGTTAATATTTTTTTGTTAAAAAAAGCATCGTAACTTGTCACACAAAAGAAAGGGAGCTACCAAAAATACAGGGCAGAGCCTGGCACTAGCAAAGGCACGCGGTTTAAGCTGGGTCCGAGCGTTGTTGTTTCGAGGAGAAGGCGCCATTTTTGACTCGTTAGCTTATCTTTGTGATTCACTCACACAAGTCCAAGAACTGTTCCACGATAAATGCCAGGATTGTAATGAAAACGGTAAACAATAATGGAGTAAACGGTAATGGAAGCAACGTATAAGAAGCATGGAGGGGGAAAGAATCCTCAAGTCGCTTCTGAACGGTGAAACAGACGGCCTTTTCGAGGATACTAAGGTTTGTGCAAGTTCAGGTTCTAATTTTTGGGCGGTTTAAACTTATGTATAGCTAAAGCATAATATGGGATATACTGCTTTCATTTTATAGAGGATGTGTCTGCTTTCTTAAAGCGCGTTGAATTCGGATTACAAACGAATTACAGAACCAATGATACAAATTTAAGCTTAATTAAGTTTGAACTTAGAATATTGAAAGCTAAACAACGTAAAGACTCACAGTTGCCTTGTTGTGGAAATGGTGAAATCTTGATGTCAGTTATTTTGATAAGAATGAGGTTGAGCTAAAAACTTAAAATTTGTGTCTTGCTTGCATGGTTTTAGAATTATCTTGCTCCTTTGCGATCTCCGTTGAAGAACAAAAATGGCTGTAAGGTGGGCTACAAAGTGACAGAGGAAACTGTTTCAAAATACACTGTATTTGTCACCAAGTTCCTAAGATGTGCTATTGAGACCTTGAAAAAGGTGAAGGCAAGAGGAAATAGTCTTGATGAGCTCACTAACTCCTTGAATTTAGGTGAGTACGGTAAAGGTTGAGTGCGCATTTGAGGCCAATGGCTAACCAGGCTTGCACTTATCTACAGTTTCAAAAGCATGAATTTACTTGGAACATTTCTACTCCCCCTGGGTACTATAGGCAACAAGTCCCTGTGACATGACGTGGTGACAAGTCACTGTGACAATATGCTTCACGCAACATGGAGAATTTTTGTGAAGAAAATTTTCAATCTGTTGTTTTTTTTTTTGTGCATGATGACAGCAAGAAAATGAGTAAAAGTAGTGTTGTCACAGCAAGTGTACACTTCTGTGACATGTTCCTACAACTTATCCTTATGTCATGCCGTGACTTGCCGCCTAGTGTGTTGCAACCTTTATTACTGTGGGTAGAGGCTCGCTGTTAGAGTGAAGTTTCTAGCCTGAGAACTTTATGTTGTGACCATGATCAGTTCTTGATCCAGAGTTTAGTGCACTTAACTTAAAGTCATCATGCCTCCTAACCAGTCTTTTGTTTATTAAAAAAACAGTCATTTAGTTTTAGCTTACACATGTGCTGTCTAGCAAACAATGCAGCTGGAAATGATCAAGAGAACTCTAAGCTTATTGTCGAGGATTTTATCTGATGATGTAATGCTAAATTCTCAGAACTATCTTTGAAAAGATGTGTGCTAACTGGCAAGGAGAATTGAAATTTTAAACTGTAAGACTTGAAAAAGTTGCTAACTAACATTTCTTTGTGTTCTTGATATAGTGGGCACCTTGCTCAATGACACATTATCTGTTCAGAATGGAACTTACCTCAAGTTCATACCATCCCTGGACCAGCTTGGTAAAACACTTTATCTGATTGTTGTGCAGCTTATAGCCAAGACACAGTTTGACAAGGCATTGTGCCATGCTAATCACCTGCTTAAATTCATTCAACTCCTGAAATCATGGAAAAACTATGACAGTAACAAAATGGACAAGGAGCTGTCTTCACTTGCCAAGCGTATGTCTGATGCCCTGCTTCAAGGAGCAGGCAAGCTAGAAGAAGTGAAGGTAACTCCAGTGCAAAAAGCAGCTCACTTGTGTGCCATTTTAGACTGGAGAAAGCTGTCATTGCTTTTTCAAGCTGAAGCGATTACAAATTCTTCTCTGGAATCCTTAGTGGATAGAACTCTTAAATGTGGAACAAAATATCAGATTGATTGTGGACAAAAGAATGTCAATTTTAAACTGTTAGCCAGTTTTTTTGAATCTGTTTTTGAGATACTTATGGTCAAGACTGAACAGCTTGTTACAAATGGAAGAGATCCAATGCTGGTTTTAGTTGAATTGGGTTTTCATTATGGTAGGATTTGCTGCAAAGCAGAAAGATCAACCCAGGCCTTGAATGTTTTTGATAAGCTACTGGAAATTGCAAGGAAAGTCAACCATTCCAAAAATGGCCAATCAAAACTTCATCATATACCTTCCCAAGTTTGCTGTTGTGTTTGTGTAGTGAACAAGGCTACCATTTTCTTGAACTGCAATACAAATGCAATGCCACAAACTGAAGACTCTTATCAGCAGATGTTGTTAGAGAGTAACAGACTAGTTTCTCAGGTACTGAAGTGCAAGACATTATCGTCTTCTGTGCTGAACCTACTCTCAGATTCTATGGAGTATTTCAGAATTACTTTGCAAAATGCTTACAACAGTCAAACAGAACTCTCACGGAGAATGTTCCAAGATGCTGTGCAGTTGCTCAAGTTGTATGCAGCAGTTCTCTCACTCCATTGTGAACAAATCAAGACAGCGCTGCACAAAGCCAATGCCACTGATGACATAATTGTACAGTTCAGGCAGCAGTTGCAGAAGACAACAGTGCGGCAACTGACTGTGCTGAATTTTGTGATTTCTTTGTATCAAGATCAGATGAAAACTGAGAAGGTTACAGAAGAGTGCAGCAAGGATTCAAGGTTAGTAAGATATGCTTGTTTCATGAGATAATGTAAAGTGAAAGCAGGTTGCTAAGAAAACATGTTTTCTGGCTTGCCCTTTGGGAAGCTCTAACTATGATGAACTATCCAGAAAATCATTCTCACTAGCCCCCCCCAAAATCTCTTACAGTACTGTGTATTTTGATTTTTCTCAAAAAATGTGACCCCAAGAAATGTCACTTACCCATCGGCCAAGTGACACACTGGATCCACAAGCCTGACTGGAAAATCCAGTTATAATAAGCTTATTTAACTCTATAAAAATGTATTATTAACTAAATAATTGTACATTCAGCAGTTGTTATTGTTTTCTTCACAGAAGTCGTATATTAAGAGACTGCATTATAGTGGCACAACAAGCAAGCACCCTCATTCACAATGCTCTTGATGATTCAGACATTCCGTTGTCTGCAAATGAGCTACGATGGTTGGGCAGTAGTGTTTACAACTTAGGCTGTGTGGCTTATCAGAGAGGCTGTTTTTCAGAGGGAGGGCCTCTGCTGGCTCTTGCTTGTGAAGAGCTGAAAATCTGGAGCTTTGCTGCAGAGACTGAGCAAGGCATTGTTGCAAGAATCGAAGAGGTAATTCACTAGTGTTGAAAAGCACTTCAAGGAACTTTTTCATAGGATCACTGCTTCAAGGCTGGATTTCCCTAAATAATAAGCATAAGCATACACACAAGCAACATAAGAAGATGCAGTAGAGTGCTGCTAAGCAATGCCTTTTGTTAGAAAATTTTCCGATCAAATGGTCCTAATTTTTAAAACTAAACTGTTTAAATTTTTTAGTGATTTAGACCAGACTGATCATAAATGTAGTGTTTAGTAGTGCACAGTCTTATTCACAAGGCATCAATCAACAAAAGGGTGTTGGGCTTTTTGGATATTTTGATTGGTTGTCTAGATATCAGCATCTAAAGTTGGAGTAGCTAAAAATATGCAAGACGTGTTGTGTAAATGGACGCCACAGGAAAAATATGTTAAATATCCAAATTTCCTGACAAACTTTTGTTTGTCATTATCCCTGGAATGTTCTGGTGAAATTTCACGAAAATCCATCAAATCTGCATACCCTATAAATTCGCTCAAAGTGGATGTATTCCTTCCGAAATCAAATGCTAGATTTTAGCTGGTAAAGGTTCGTAAACAACTCGTGCCACGCCAGGAGATTATCTTGCTGTATGAAACTGCAAACCAATGGAACAACAGGACCTCCTAGCGTCAATGACGATGGATCAGGATTTCCCAGGAAAAGCATCGCATTGCAACATGTTTTCTATCTCGCTGTCGCATTGAAGAGAAAGACACTAAAACGGGCAAAGTAGCCAAAGGCAAAAGAACGACTGCGTGATATAAACAATACCAAATAACAAGAAATACAAGCTCCAAGAAGAGCGTTTGCCATGAAAATTTCCCCTGGTGGTTTCTTCCATTTAAGTGATTATGACACCTCCCTTGGTTTATTAACTTTATTTGAAAATACATTTTTTCTAAATAACTCGGCCGCTTTTTGAAATTTTTAATATTTTTCTTTTGTAAACTTTAGATAAAATGACTGACTTAAATTTTGTCCAATAAAAGAAAAAAACTATTTTTTGTGCCCTTGAAGGTGGGAAGTAACCTTAATTTCATTATATTTGTTTGGTTTTCTGGTTACCTTAATTAATTTTGCAAGCTTTAATTTTACATCACTTAGTCACATGAATGTTGTTTAAAGCTTCTACATCTTCTGTTATGTTTTTTTGTCATTTCACATCAATCCTGAATTCTGTAAAGGATTAAAAATGTGTGACTTGTGATTCAACACCCTTAATTCATGTAGGTGAAACTGTTAACAAAGTATACATTGCTGATCGACTGTCAGAGACGGGCCAGACAACTGAGTGATGCACTGAAGACAGCTACCACTCAGGTCCTGAACACGCTGAGAACTTCCTGTGATGCTGACATTCTAAGTCAACAGATCAAACAATGGACTTCAGTCAAACATGAACTGATAAAGAACCTCCAGAGTGAAGAGAAAATGCCTGAAAGATCCAGGTTTGTAATTGTGATTGTTTTATTTGTTTTGTCTTACACAACCAGTAACTGATTTTTGTTTTTGTTGTTTTTTGGTTAACTTTTCCAATTCCTTTTCAGCTGGAACAGTTTTATGATACATGTATAGTCAAATATGACCTTAACATTGAAATCTCTGTAATACAGACTTCTCAGTACTATGGACAGCTCAGTGTTCTAGAGAAACTGGATCATGTGTACTTAAGCCATCCGTTGGTCAAGTATCGGTCGATGCTATTGGACGTCATATTGACCAAGTGTCGGTNGGTACCCATTTATACACCTGAGTGGAGAGAGGCACAGTGAGACTAAAGTGTCTTGCCCAAGAACACAACACAATGTCCCCGGCCAGGGCTCGAACCTGGACCGCTCACTCTGGAGTCGAGTGCACTAACTATGAGGCCACTGCATCTCCCACATGATCTGAGAAACTTATAATAATATTCACGTACATGTACATGTTATCTCTACCTCTATATATTACAGGTGGGAGGCGCTGTGGCCTCATTGTTAGTGTGCTTCTCTCCGGATTGAGTGATTTGGGTTCAAGCCCTGGCCAGGGACATTGTGTTGTGTTTTTTGGCAAGACACTTTACTCTCACAGTGCCTCTCTCCACCCAGGTGTATAAATGGATACTGTTGAACTTAATGCTGGGGGTAACCCTGCGATGGACTAGCATCCCATTCAGAGAAGAGTAGAAATACTCCTAGTTGCTTCATGCTACAGAAACTAGGTTAAGCTCTGGCAGGATGGGCCACTTGGCTTGTATGCAGACTTAACCTATATATTACGGACACGTCCATAATCTGAACACTCAGTTCTGGTCCTTTTGTGTCTGTATTAGGTTTGAATATGTGTTGTAAAGAACATTTTGACTGGGGAGTTATTGTTAGTGACTTACGTAATCATCCCTACAGTTTATAGTGGGCAACTAACTATAATAAATATGTCTCTGTATTTTTTCTTGTCTGATTTAGAACTCTATGCAGTGCCTTTGCAGAGCTAGAAGATGCTAAAGATGTTGTGGGTAACCAGTTGTGTTTGGTTCTTCAAGAGGAGCTTGCTTGCTACAAGGCAAAGAGGTTTGTGGCTTCATTATAAACTCTCCATTTGTAGAAAAACTGATACACACAATTTTGCACTGAATGGGAAGGGATTGAGGGCTGTAGCCAGAAAAAATGTAGGCATGTTCATGGTTAAATTCTCTTCCTAGGTATTTAGGGTGTTTATGATCACGACTATAAACAAAACAACAACAAAAAGAAGTGAGGCAAGTGCCTCAGTGCGCTTGTTATGAGCTACTGCCCTGGGCTTGCATGTACATAAACGAGGAGTGCTGTTCTCCTGAATGGGAGCAAAAGAATATTTTGTGGTGAACTGCCCATCTGTGGCAACTTCATTTTTAACAAAATTCTTTATGTTTTCTTCTATTTTCAGTTATGACACTGCAGTAGAGCAAGTTTCAGTCATCAAGCAGTTAACAGAGCTGTTTATTGTTCAAGAGGATGAATTTCAACATGGCTCTGCCATGTTGGATCTCGCCATAGCATTGGATAGCTTGGTAGACGTAGATCTTGGAGAAGACAAGTGAGCATAACACACAGCAATACTCCTAGTTGCTATGGGAACCACTTACAACACTACTTATGTTTTCTCACAAGCCCTACTTTTGTAAAGGAAGAAACTATTACAGAAGCCACTATCCTAATCTAGGACTAATACAGAAATTTCCGGTTTTGCAAAATGTTGNTTTATAAGCTTGATGTGTCTTTCTACAGCCTTTCAAGAGAGTTTGTGCACTTTACCTTGCGGGCGGCATATCTCAAGCAATTGGCACCAATGACATGCTGGATAGTGGACTGTCTGCCTTCAGTGATGCAATCCACTCATTGTGTGACATGCTGGACATTTCACATGCCTGCCTTCTGCTGTCTCGTGCAAGTAACTTGTTAGATGCCTTTGAGCCAAGTAGTACCTCAAAGGCTCAATTCTTGTTGGCCAAAAGTCATTATCTGTTGCTCACAGGAAAGGTAAGACTGAACCAGTTCATTAGTTACTTACAGTTTATCTAGATATGTCAAACTATGCTTGCTGAGTCACTGACAGCACTTTGATCTACATGCATGCCTGTGAGAGAATTTTATGTGGGCTTGTGAGAATGACTTCTAGGCTAGTACATCCTAGTTAAAGCTTGTCTGAAAGTTCCATAGGAGTCCCTTTTTCATTTTCGACCTTTCATGTACTGAATGACGTAGTATTAGTATACAGGTATGACATATGGACCTGAACATCCTATAAGCCTATACAAGCAAAATTGTACAGGACATTCATTTCACAAACTTGTTTCTTTGGTGTGCTTCATTGCCTTATTTCTGTCACATAAACTTGTCCCTTATTTTAAATTGGTTAATTTTTAGTACTCAAAAGGAGAGGATTGCCTCAAGGAAGTACTGCAGAGTGAAGTTGTTACTCACAAGAATTACATGTCACATCTGTTGAAAGCTAGACTGAAATGCATTTGTGCAAAATACTCAATGCTCCCTGCTAAGCTCCACACAGTCACTGTTGCTGTAGGTGAGTACTTGTCAAAGTAAATGAGTGTATCTATCTTTTCAGCCCCCAAAACGTAGCTATCATCTCTGCGTTAGTCTGCTTTGATCCCTGTTAATCTGAAAAGACCAACACACAAGGTTATTGGCATGATACCACTGACCTTCAAGGCAACAGTTCATCCCACAGACAGAGAGGCTCATGTCCTTTTGAAAAAAGGAAGGCTATGGACTTGTATGTTGCATAACCTACATACTTTGTACTGATCAGTTATCTTCTTTATAAAAATAAAGATCCTATGCTTGGTTCACTGACTGCTTTGGAGTGTGCTCTTGATGGGTATCATAAGTTGAGTCAAATGGCTGAAGAGATCTTTGGTAGTGGTATATTTTGCAGTGGCAAACAGAAACAGAAAGAAAACAAGACAGGTGAGGAAATAACAATAGTGAATACTCAAAGATTACTGTTGCTCCTTCTCTAAAAACTGCTGGGACACTTTCATATAAATTTAGCCATGATGGTTAGTCTAGTAAAAGTTTTTGCATTTTTCTTTTTCTCACTAGAGGGTCGAGTAAGCTCAGCAGGCTCCAGTCAAAACCTTATCCACTTGTCACTCCTACATGACTTGCTGTCTTCTCTGTTACAAGTTGGCCAACTCTATGCTCATCAAGGTGCTGTGAGGGAGGCCTTTAGACAGTTTGTGGATGGCATTGCTTTGGCAAGACAGTTTTCCCTTTCATACAGGTGAATAGTGCAGTCACATACATTTGTATGTTGTAAGTCAAATTTTTCACAGATCAATGTATTTCATGGCCTGCAGGTAGGTTTTTCCTGCTTCAAGCTGAAGTAGGAAATACCTTGTAATCACAGGACCATGAGTTGTTGTTTTATAAAGTACGTAAGGAAGTAATGAGAGCTCAAAAGGGTGAAGCATGAGCCACAGTCAAGAAACACTTGAAATTTCCTTACATACATTATAAAACAACAATTAACTTTAAAATGTTGGAAATCAGAAACTGAATTTACTTCACTCTGACAGAAGTGACTTGCAGTGCTGGAAGTAACCTGTGAATTTCTCTTGGAACATTTGCCCTAAGAAAAGAAATGGGGGATCGCACAAGCCGAAGAAAAAGTCTTCTGACCTTAATGTTTAACGCTTCACAATTGCAACTGATGAAGGGGGTTTTCCCAAAACGTCTCTAAAAATACCACACAAAAGCACTTTTTTTTTAAACTTTATTGAACGTAGCCCCAGATTAGATCAATGTTGCTCCATTGACTGTACATGTGCTTCCAGGCTGGATGGAAGAAGGTTTGTGCAATTTTTAAGTGATAATTTGTGGCAATGTAGGTATGAAGGGTACAATTGTAAAGCAATATTTAGCCATACAGCGTTTTAGAAATATGAGCGAGTATGAAATTTTGAGTGCTGGAAGTAATCTTTAATGTTCCCTCTGAGGGTTAGCCTTAAGAATAGATAAGGGGGACCACATCAGGCAAAGAAAAACTTTTGAATTTGGTAGGATTGGCAGCACTCAAAATACAGTGTACTTCAGAATTAATTCTTTGATTCCCAGTTAATTAGTGCTTTACAATATTGTACCCAAGGTTTTAAGAGGACCAACTTCAAAAGAATTAACCTTTAAAATACACATGTGACAGTTTCCTGAAAATGTCTTCTTCCGTTGATAGCAAATCACATTTGTCCAGTTGCCAGAAACAGAAGTACATGTATTTTGTGTTGTTAGAATTGCAGAATTTCTCACTAACATTGCACGGTTGGAAGTGATGCAAGGAAAGGTGGACAAGTGCCAACACCAGCTTGATCAGCTGAAGGCAATGTTGCAACCAGTTCTCAAGCAGCCTGGTAAATTAAAGCCTTCTAGTACTGGAGTTCAAGAGCCACTGTTAACTGAACATCCAGACACTTGTGAATGTGTCAGTTGTCTTGATCCTGCACTCCATGTTATAATTGTCAACTACTTTGCAAATTTGTCCAGCTACTTTGAATCTGTCTCAAGTCCTGAACAAGCCATCCAAGCTCTGGAGGTTGGGGAGTCTGTTTGCAGTCATGCTGAAAACATGATGACAAGAACTCTTAGGAGACTTGACGTTGTTCTGTGTGGCGCTGAACCTAGCGACTGCAATTCAAAGGCGACAAAAAAGAAGAGGGGAACAAATTCTGCAAAAGGCAGAAAACAAAAAGAAGATACAACTTTGACAATCACCTCTACTTCACAATTAATGTTCAGTCAACATTATGCCACATTATACTGCATGAATGCAAACTTGTTGCTCCAGAATGGAAAAGTTGAAAAAGCCAATCTTGTCCTATCAGGAGCAATGGAATATCTTCGTAATGCAGAGGATACCTTTGGAAACAGATTAATTCACATGCTTCAAATCAAAGCTTCCTTACTTTACATGCATGGTGTAGTGACTCTGCTACATAACAAGTGTTCCTCTGGTGATGTTTTGGTGGATAGTAACTGGTTTTCTAAGAGTGAGATGAACAGCATTTCCAATGGAAACGCAGAGGAAGTGACAGATTCCCTGCATGTTGATGCAGTTGAACAAGCCGAGCCTGGGATGCCAAGAAGAGGTTCAAGTAGACGATGTAGAACTTCTAAAAGTGTGGAGGATAATGGCAAGAAAAAACCCTCAAGAGCAAAGGGCAGGGGAAAGAGCAAAAAAGTAGAGGAAATCCCCCTTGAAGATAAGGAATCTAATGCAAACGTTCAACAAAAACCAAAGGGACAAAGCAAAAGGTCAAAGACAACCAAGGTGGCTACTTGTAACAATGTGGACAATCAAATCCAAGGTACTGTTAGTAGACTTACAGTCTTGTAACCTTTTCATATCAATAAAAAGTGAGTCAGGTGGCTGTAAACATTATTAGTATAAATATATTAGCAGTCTATCACAAACACCTTTTTCTTATTGGCTATGCTACTTGCTGTTTATTCTTGACTGTTGTAGATAGTGAGTGGCTTAGCAATGTGCAATGTTAATAAAATGGCAGCTGCTTATATGCGGTTTTGAAGTGTCTGTGAAGAAAATTTAAATGAAGTTTTGAATAACTAGTAGATTTATACTAATAAAAACAAAAAGATTGTTCACTCTTGGTTCTTATGTGTGATAGTTGACTCCAGCTTTGTGGTCATCAACTGTCAGGCTATAGAAATCGCAAGCTCATATTCTAATTCTTAATTATAGAGAACATAGTCGATAATGAATATCACTTTCCTCTTACTTTGTTCTCTGACCAGATCCTCAATGGCTTGATCAGGCCATCCAGTATTTCAATGAAGCATTTGAACTCTGTCAGGCATGTCCTCCTCCAGCCCTGTTCTCCAGTATCTGCCGAGGATTGGCATTCTGTCATGGACGATCAGCACCTGGACTTTCAATGTACTACTTAAACATGTCAACATCAGTGACACTCAGACATCAAGCTGTGACCAGAACAGGAAAGAGAATAAGGTGAAGATGTTACAAATTAATGTAGTCTGACATCTGTTCCAGTCATAAAGACTGCACAAGCCAGGTGGCTCATCTATGATCACGGACAAAAGTGTTGACACATTTGAGCAAAACAAATGCTTTCTATTGGCGTCCTTCTGTAATTGAAAAAAAAACATCTTTTTCGTCGATAGCCAAACCCCCCTCTCCCCCTTTTCAATGTTGAAATGCACTCTATGGACACTGCCATGTGGTTACAACATTGAAAAGGGGAGAGGGAGTTGAAATGTGAAAATTGGAGATTGAAAAACTCACGCGTTCAACGAAACAGGATTTTTTTCGGGGAGTGTCTCAACTGCTTTTGTCCATGATTGTAGGCTAGTCTGCACAGCAGTTGTTTCCTTCCTAAGCATGCCAGAGGTGAACAAAAAGCACGTGAGGCACATGTTCTTTTTCACTCAGATGAGAAATTGATTAATTAATAGCATTGTCCAAACCAGTTGGCAAAACTGCAAGGACATCCTCTCCGTTGATTAGGCTTGTAATGATAACCTTTTGCTCCAGTTTCAGAGGAATAACTGTACCACCTTGGGATAGAAATTTGGAACTTTCTTGAAAAGCAAATTCATACGAATCTGGACTGATTTATTAATTTGCACTGGATGCTTACAGTGCATGTTCCAGTCAAAAATCTGTCTCACCTTTGATTGACTACCCATTGTCCAATCNTCAAATCCAAGGTACTGTTAGTACGCTTACAGTATTGTAACCTTTTCATATCAATAAAAAGTGAGTCAGGGGGCTGTAAACATTATTAGTATAAATCTATTAGCAGTCTATCACAAACACCTTTTTCTTATTGGCTATGCTACTTGCTGTTTATTCATGACTGTTGTAGATAGTGAGTGGCTTAGCAGTGTGCAATGTTAATAAAATGGCAGCTGCTTCTATGCAGTTTTGAAGTGTCTGTGAAGAGAATCTAAATGAAGTTTTGAATAACTAGTAGATTTATACTAATAGAAACAAAAAGATTATTCACTCTTAGTTCTTATGTGTGATAGGTGACTCAAGCTTTGTTGTCATCAACTGTCAGGCTATAGAAATCGCAAGCTCATATTCTAATTCTTAATTATAGAGAACACAGTCGATAATGAATATCACTTTCCTCTTACTTTGTTCTCTGACCAGATCCTCAATGGCTTGATCAGGCCATCCAGTATTTCAATGAAGCATTTGAACTCTGTCAGGCATGTCCTCCTCCAGCCCTGTTCTCCAGTATCTGCCGAGGATTGGCATTCTGTCATGGACGATCAGCACCTGGACTTTCAATTTACTACTTAAACATGTCAACATCAGTGACACTCAGACATCAAGCTGTGACCAGAACAGGAAAGAGAATAAGGTGAAGATGTCACAAATTAATGTAGTCTGACATCTGTTCCAGTCATAAAAACTGCACAAGCCAGGTGGCTCATCTATGATCACAGACAAAAGTGTTGACACATTTGAGCAAAACAAACGCTTTCTATTGGCATCCTTCCGTAATTGAAAAAAAACAAACATCTTTTTCGTGGATAGCCAAACCCCCTCTCCCCCTTTTCAGTGTTGAAATGCGCTCTGTGGACGCTGCCACGTGGTTACAACAATGAAAAGGAGAGAGGGGGTCAAAATGTGAAAATTGGAGATTGAAAAACTCACGCATTCAACGAAACAGGGTTTTTTCGGGGAGTGTCTCAACTGCTTTTGTCCATGATTGTAGGCTAGTCTGCACAGCAGTTGTTTCCTTCCTAAGCATGCCAGAGGTGAACAAAAAGCATGTGAGGCACATGTTCTTTTTCACTCAGATGAGAANCAAGAGACCATGTTTGACCACATTTGCAAACACCAAGAAGAGAGATGATAATAAGATGTATAGCATAGAATTTTTGATCAACCTTGAGGTGTTGGAAATGTGGTAAAACACGGTATTGAGTGTTTGATGTTATATCTTCTCAATTGAAACTGAAACAAAGGAGAAAATAGGGAAATACAATTGTATGAATCTATGCTAATTATGATCAGACATTCAAGCACCATCATGGTTATTAAACTTGATGAATTATTGATGAGTTTGAGAATATCAGTTGAAAGTCCTGCGTAATGTTTCTCTTTCCAGGGATTTTTTGACTGGTTATGTTTTTCTGTGGGATTTGAAGCAACTCTCATTTGATGTTCTATTTCCTTATGTGTTTTTTTTCTTCTCCAGGAACTTCACAGAGACGTGACCCAACTTGCAGAAGATCTGTCTTGCTTGTCTCTTGATAGCACTTTATCTGCTAGTCTACCAGCTGAAGCCCAGTTCAAATTAGCACAACTGGTCAAGACTCGAAACATCATGAAGTTTATCCTGCATATCAATGGTAGTGGCCAGTCCTCATCCCCATTTTCTCCTGAAGAAATTTCTCTTCTGCAGAACATTCCAAAAGGTACATGGAATTTATGTTTTAATTAAAGGATAAAGATATTGATAAAACCTGACTCCGCTGATAGTATGTTGGGAGACCTTTTCATGTTATGTTACTCAGCCTAACCGACATGCATGCTCCTACTATGTTCTTTAGGCTAATCAGTATACTTTTAATAAGATATAAAATTCACAATGCAATATTAAAATTAATGATGTTGTTAAAATATTTTATAGAATGGACTGTGTGTACTTTGCAAACCTTCACACCACCAGGAAGTCAAGTGAGAGAACTGATTATTTGCAGAATAAGAGCTGGGTTTGATCCTGTGCTGGTCAAGATCAATACAACATCAGGAGAGGAACAGAACAAAGAGAATGCTGTACGTCACTGAGGCAATCTTTCCCACCCAAGATTACTCACTGTCTCACATGAAAATTGTTTTCTAGCAATATAATGGACCTTGCCTGTGTCTTGATTCAAAGACATGTAAAAAATGAAGTTGACTGATGTCTTAATGTAGCCATCTTAACCTCATGCTAGGTCCATAACCCAATCCATGTCATATAATGCCTGTCTGACCAGTTAATTCCCAGGACTGATTGGCTTCTAATTCCTTCTCCTCCATTTCACAGGCACCTGGTACATGTAAGATAGGACGCCTTTGTTTTTATGGCAGTCTTTTGTTTTGGTCCCTGGGATAGCATTCTGAAAACCCCTTTCTTTTCTTCTTTAACTAATTATTGACTCATGGACAAAATAGTGTGGATGCTTCCTGAGGCCCGATATTGTCCATATCAATATGAATAGCTTGCCATGGGAGGAACAAAAAGGCTTAGGGTGTGAAAGTGACCAAAAAAAAAAATGGTGTGAGAAGAGAGGGGCCAGGAGGGAAGAGACCTTTGACAGATATAATTTCAAGCAAATAATATTTGAAATGTAGAACAATCACACCATCATTGTTTGTGGAGTTTATGTCTTGTCGAGAAGTATTTCCTATTACAATATGTACATTGGTGCTATATTTGTCAGAATTGAAATAATATTATCACTATAACTGTTTTATTGTGTGCAGTCAGATGAGGTTGTCATGGATCTGACCAAGCTGTTTCAGTGCAGTGTGATGGAGGAGTTCAGTGACATTATGAGTGACAGTGTTAGAAGCATGGGCATTAACAACACGTCAGAGTGGTGGGCACTGAGAACAAGCCTTGATGTCAGAATGAAGGTACGAACAACACAGCTCAATGTCTGTTTAGGTTTAATAACATATTAAAGAGGAACCTTGATTTAGCAAACGCTAAGGGGAATGGAAAATGGTTTGAACTGCAATCAAGATGCGTGAAAAACAGGAAGGTAAATTTCTCTTAACATTTCTCCAAGGAGCAAAAATTGAGCACTTCAAAATTATACCGGTAACTGCATCTTTTTTTTCTAGCAAGGTTTCAAATTGGAGTGTTTGAGGAATCCGGATTCTGTTGTAATTCAGTCTGGGGAATGTGCTGATTTGCTAAATCTATGTTCATGTAAGTGTCTACTAATTTTATCAATGCAAGTGGCTGAGATTCTTCTGAAAATTATCTTTTAGAGCCTTTTGGCAAAGCTTGAATCTTCATGGTTGGGGAGATGGAAGGGAGTTCTTCTTGGACAGCCAGTCAACAAGGATTACTGTGATTCAACAGTGTCCATAGCAAGGCAGTTGCAGGAGAAGATTATGCACTTGTGTGAATGTAAAGCTGATGAACAATTACTTGAGGTAATTTTTAGTCCTTGTGACAGTAAGCCTCGTTGAAATTAAATTGACATTCTGTTTGATGACTTCGTTTTTGGAATTTTTGAACTAAAGTTGGACCTAGCTAATGCAAAGTCAGTTTTTTCAAATTCCCTGTTATTTCGAACTCATTCAAACCATTTCCCTTGGATTTGCACTTCAGTCGTCCACTATTGGCTATTTCGAGCTCTCACTATTTCGAACTGCTTTTAGATTCCCCTGAGAGTTTGAAATAGGGGTGGTCAACAACTTAGTACTTATTTGGCAGGAACACAATGTCTCAACTATACTCAGTACTTATAATTCAATACTTATATTACTTGCAGATTCATACAACTGTCAGTATTTAACAGTACTCACAGTATGGGTTATTTATGCTAGTAAATCAAACAGAGAAAAGAAAAAAAATAGAAACATTAACTTTGTGGTTTCATGCTACCAAAAAGTTGGTGGTGTGTCAAGACATTCCTGTGATACATTGTACACTGTTAGTGTGGCAAACTAGATACAATAAATAATGACAAATTTATATCTTAATTAAGGTTATTTCACACCCTGTTGGAAGGACTGCACATGTATAACTATGTCATTGTCAATACATATTCCAGGTGCTCGTGAGTTCCTCACCACATCTGTCACAAAAACAGGCAACTGAAGCATTTATGGAAATCACTGGCTTGGATCCTACTGCATCTTCATTAAATGAGGTGATGAGGCAAATTCTCATATTCCACTGGCTGAATATTTACTTCAAAAATAAAACTTCAAGTTTGCTCTTCCACAGGGGCTTCACAGACTTTGTCTTTTGAGTTAAAGTTAATTAGTTTGTTGAGTTTTCTAAAGTATTTTTTAATAGTGATTAAATAAATTTAGTTCATGAACTATTATCAACTGTAGTTTGTTAAAACCTAGATTGCAGTCATGTTTAGATAAAGGTGAAATACCTCTTGCACCCAGTAAAACCCCTGCATTGGTACTTCAACCCAGCAAATGACTTGAGAAAACCAATTTGTGTGTTACTGCAATTTATTTTTAAATTAATTTATCATTCTGATAAGAAATATTCTTTGCACCCTTTAATTCTGAAGCATTTACATGTGATCACCACAAACAGTCTTTCACAAGATAGTTATCACCTAGATGATTTGCTCTTTCATCAATCTTTTAGCTTCTTGATGAATTTGAGGAACTGACTGGCAACTTGTTTCAAAATAGCAACAAGAAGAGCAGTAATAGCAGGTCTGGAAAAAAATTGTTACTTCTATCACTACTATGAGCAGCAACAGTAGTTGAGACAGCTGGGTAAAATGCGTTTATTATTAATGATGTATTTTGTACACCCAGTTCAGGCAAATTTCAAAGAAAAACTTGCCTACTCTGTAAATCAAGTGGTATTAGGAAAAAACAGCCTTGTTGGGAGAGTCGAGTGATGTCTTACCTGACAGGGGTTTAAATTTGTCCACTGGAATCAAAAATAGGATAAATAAAAGAGATTAACACTTGTTGCTCATTAAAGTTATTCCACTATTATGACTACTGGCAGTGCTGTTCTCAAATTAATAGTTGAGTGAATTTCTTTCATTAATTAAATGATCATGCTTCTCTCTCTCTCTCTCTCTTTTTTTTGTTGCAGGATTGATGACAGCCCTGCAAAGGCTGTTTCACGACACCCTGTCATTCTCATCCTTGGCAAGGTGACTAGCAAGGGAAAATTTTTCGTATAGATTAACAGTGAATGCAAAAAAAACTAAAATCTGGCTTTGGCACTGGTTTTAGTTAACCTCACCTGATGTAGTTCTTAGACCATCCTGCCTTGAGCGTTTCCTCCAGTATTTTAAAACAAAGATTTGCCTTTTTGTCATTGCTCTAGGGCCATGTTTTGATCTGTTTTTAAACAGCAGAATTAGATTACACAGTAGCCATGCATGTAATGTGTGCACAGGGTACAGCAGCATAGCCCTTTGGATGCATTGCAGGCCTACAATAGGTCATTTGCTAATACAATAGAGAGATGACTAGCATTTAAGCCAAACATTCTAGATGATGTTGTACCAAGGGGTTTCCTTAGCACCTTTTGCTTTCATAGTGCAAAATGGCAAGCAGATAACAGTCTGAGTCAAAGACAGATATCTGTCTGTGGATTTGTCAAAGAAAATATATCAAGGACTTCAGAATGTGTTTCAGAGTGTGTTTCATCACAATTCCAAACACTTCAAAGTTTGTTGAAAATTCTTGCTTTCATCTCTGTCTGTGGATCTGTCAAAGAAAATATATCAAGGAATTCAGAATGTGTTTCAGAGTGTATTTCATCACAGTTCCAAACACTTCAAAGTTTGTTGAAAATTCTCTGTTTTGACGTTGTATATTTACCTCTTGTCTGATTGTTTAGAATGTGATGAAACACCCTCTCAAGTTTGATATGTCACGAGAAAGTCTCTTTTGTGATACAAAGGGAATCATAAGTAAAATAAACTTAATTATCCTGTAATTCAGGGACCAAGAATGTTTTAAAAGTAATGGTTGCTTTGTGGGATCTTTATGTTGGAAGCTAAAATGGTCACACAATGTGGTTTTTTTTAAATCACCCTACAGGATATTCAGCACCTTCCTTGGGAAAGCATACCTATGTTGTTTGACCAACCTGTGACAAGAGTTCCATCTTTACAATTTCTCCTTTCAAAGGTACACGGTCATGTGGTAGACCTCTTGAGAAGTTTGCTGGTACAGCTTGACATGTGTCATGTTTAAATAACTTTTATGGTGTAAAAAAACAAGCAACAACTTGTTGTTGCGTTCCCAAGAGTCACAAGTCTTGTAAATACCATCACTTGGAGTCTGTTAAATTGATATGTATATTTAGTATTTTGTTGTTTATTTTTTTCTTTAAAATGTTGAAAATAAAATTAAGTAAAATGATTTTTTTTATTTAAATATCAATGAAAGTATCTCGCCCTGTGGTGTTTACAGGGGACAGTGGAACAGAAACTTGTTAAACATCCTAACCTGAAGGAAGGCTTCAACTAGCTAGCTATTTACACTCAGTCTGGTGGATGTGTTTTTCAATTTGAAAATGTTGACAATAGTCCAGATTCAAATTAACCAAGATTGCTGTTTAAAAAGACTCAGATGCATTTGTACAATGTTAGTCTCAGTCTTAAGTGACATAATCACAAAAAGTGGTTAGAACATTAACAACTACAGCACCTTCCTACAGGTGTCTGAATATTTTTCTAGAGATTAAGATTAATATTACGCATGAGTCTTGCATCTTTTTATTCAGTGGTCCTGGTGGATCAGGTGTACCTAAGGTATCCACATTTGAGTGTAAATTGATACCCTCAATGGACCCTCGATTGACACTAGATTGACACTCAAGTGACAGTCGGTCAATAGTTCAGAGAGTGTTGAACGGCTCTTGATGGTGTATCTGCAATGGTGTATCTGCCAACTGAGACGTTGATCAAGGGTATCCATCTTGGCTACTCCAAACTGAACCAGTACTACTCAGAAATTAACCACTTACTCTGCTACTCTCTAGGTATCTTGCCAAAGTCAATTCCCACAGGTGGATCCTGTAAAAACATTCTATGCACTCAACCCGCAAAACAACCTTCCAAACACACAGAAGATGTTTCAGAAATGGTTCGAGAGGTAAGAAAACAATAAGGCAGCCAAAGTACTCTACAACAGGGAGTACTGTACAAAGTTTTATACCATGAGTTTTCATCACGAGCTCCAATCCCTAACCTTTTTGTATATCATTTTGACAGAAAAGGTACTCCCTTCCTATATGTATTGTTGAAAAAAGGTAGCCCTTTCGCAAACATACTTCGAAAACTGTATCTGTTTTCTAGACCCTTGGAAAAAAGTTAATGAACAATATTGCAGGAGAACATCAAGCATTACCAGAAGACATGTTAACCAAAAAGCAAGCATTATTTTCTTAGTTCATGTTTACATTGTATGTAAATGACAGATTTCCCTAACCTTTCATATACCTCAACTTGTGAAATCCCTACTGTTTTATATGCCTGAAGCCTGAAAAAGATATTCGTACCCCCCTAACCCAAACACTGAGTGAGACATCCAATGATGATAAAGGTGACAAGTTCATCATCAATCTTTAATGGGCCAGTCATGCACTTAAAAGTTTGTTGCCACCTTGTAAGATCTACCAAAACAAAACCACATGAAGTACTAACTTTCATTTGAATGGTGGTACAATGATAGAGGATTGAATTAATGGGAGTGAAACTCATTGCTATTGTTCTGACTTTCAGTGAAAATGGATGGCATGGTATCACAGGCAAAGCACCAACACAACAGCAGTTCAGCAGTGCACTCACAGACCATGAGCTGTTCATGTAAGTAACGTGAAACATCTGAAATGATACAGAGCAGTTAGTGCTGAAATGCTTGAGTTGTAATACCTGGTCGGTTTACAAGGGCAACGATTTCTTGCAGACATAGTCTTCCATGTATACTTAAAAGGTGACAAGACAGTCCTTTCAACACTCCCTAAAGACCTGTGATTATTTTTTATAAATTTGAAGTCCATGACCATCAGCACAGATTGACATTTTTTATCCATCTGGTTAATGTCCTTGTGTTGATGTGCTGATGAGTGGGAAAGCTTTATTTGTTTTTGCACTTACAACTTGAAGTTCTTGATCAAGAGACAGTAAATTTATATACCCAAAGCAGATTAAGCATTTAATTTCAGGTTGCAGTCTGTAAATAAATAAAAAAAAAAACATCTGTGCTCTAATTCATGAATTCAATTTTTTTGCTCTTTAGGTCAGTCAAGTGTCACCACAAATTATTCTAGTCTGTAGATATTTTGTTTTTCAAGCTGTTTGTACAGTTGCAGACCAGTGATGCATGATAACATTATTGTTTCTATGCTTATTTCTCAATGTCTCATTTTATGTTCAGATATTTTGGCCATGGCACTGGCCGAGAGTTTCTCCAGGGAGACGACATCCAGAGGCTGGATTGCCGAGCTGTTACTCTGCTCATGGGCTGCAGTTCTGGGAAATTAACGGTCAGTCAAGTAGCATACTGTACTAATAAACAGTTTAGTTTTGGTAGCATTGGCTAAGGCTAGGAGAGTTGCTCCAAGTTAATAAGAAAAACTGAAGTGTATTTCCTAAGGCCTTATGCGTCCAATGGCGTGATGAGGACTGATGATAATTTCCAGCATTTTGATTGGGTTAGTGGCCATTGTATTTCAACCATTATACCATCCCCAACAATGGCTGCTGGACAAAAAATTGCTTTCCCAACAGAACTGACTGAGAAAAAAATGTAATAAAATATGCAACATTTGACAGTTGGTCTAAAACACTAACTGGATGCATGCATTGAACATAACTTGACTATTATTAATATATCACATCAGAACCAAGCTCAAAATATTGGTTTTTTTTTTTACATATTGGTCCTGACAGTTATGATCAAGTGCCTTACGTTGGGTAGGAAAAAACAAAACAAAACAGAAAACTGATGGTCACTCAGTAGTGCGCAGAGCGAGCTTGGCTAATCAGAGGTTTATTATGTAACTGAAAATAAATTTTTCTTCAAAAACATGATATTCGAGTTGTCAGCAAGCCAGTCAAGATATTACATCAGGCATTTCCCTAAATCCAGACCTTTGATTAAACTTCAACTAAATGTGGTCTACAAAATATCTTGTGCTGACTGCCCATGGAGTTATGTAGGCGAAACTGTCAGATGCTTTGAAACTAGGAAAAAAGAACACACAAGGAATGTGAAATCTTACGCAAGAGATTCCAACATTGCTAAACACGCTTGGTCTTCAAAATCCCTCTGTTGACTTTAGAAATTCTCAATTGATTGACAAGGGTTCTTTCTGTATTTGCAAGATGCCAGAATCATGGTACACCGCTTCAATAAATCATGCAGATAACAATTCAAGGCTGCTCCCCAATCAATACTCTATTCTTTTACAAAGAACAATTNACCAGACTAGCTTTTTGTCAGGTCATAACTTGTCTTTGGCCTAACAAATGACTTTCTTGTAGACAAAAATTATTTGCAGGCTTGCTTCATGTTACAAAAATTGCCCTGTGAGCCACATTAACTATCTTTTCTACTCGGTAAATAAGCCTTTCCAACCCTGAAAAATAAATAAATGCTACACTCTGTTCACCTCCAGCCCAGCCATTGTCGCCAACCTGTGGGATGTCACTGATAAAGACATTGACCGCTTCAGTGAGTCGCTTCTGAAACAGTGGCTTCAACCAAATGCGCAACTGTCATTGCCACAAGTGCTGAGTCAATCCCGACAAGCATGTAAACTCAAGTACCTTATAGGAGCCTCACCTGTGCTTTACGGCCTTCCAGCTTACATCAAAGAATAGGATACTGTAACTTGGAATGTAAATGGCCAAATATTTTAAGGTGACACTTTTATAATCAATATCAAAACAATATTTTGTCACATAACAAATACAGTCTATAACTTTGAAATTTTTGTATTTAAATGATTTATTGTTGCACTGAACCTTGTATAATTAAAACCAAATGAAGAAATGCTCATTTTTGAAATTTGATTCTTCCGATAAGCTGAAAGATGGTTAAGGACGAGTGTGGGTAATGGACAGGAGAGTAATTGATGTAGTTTTGTCCAGCAGAGGCATTTCCTATCTCGTTAAAAATCATATATGTCAAGTCAGTTAACTCTGAGTTCATTTACTAAGAAGCCTTCATTCTATTTTCAAATTAATAGTAAGAATTTTGAGGCATTTTTTGTTGATTAATTTAATGCTTAATATAAGGAAGCATCAAATTAGAATCAATATGCTATCATAGCAACATCAGTATAATATTTAGCAATACACATTCACAGTGATCTTAGCCCATTTCACTGTTAACTTTTCTCTTTTGCATTTACACAATATAAGCCACCTTATATTCTGCCGGAAAATGCTGTTGGATTACATTGTAACACAAATGAGGAAAGTTAATCGTGAAAAGGGCTATTTGCAAACCACCACTTAATGTATTCCAACATGCTTTTTATTCCTTGGCATGACTGATCAGCAGGGAGCAAAGGGAATTTTGCACTTTGGTTATTTTTCCCCACAGTTTAAGTTGTTTCTTGGTATGAATTTTGTAAAAATTAGAGGCTTGTGTTGAAAACAATGAGTTGTATCTGACCTGTTGCTCTTGTTGCAATTGTATATTAAACAATATTGTCATGTTTTGATAATAAATTAATGAGGAAACAGACTTCAAAGCAGTTTTACTTAATTGTTTAGACAAAAAATAGTTCATATTGTAGTTAGTGGACATGATCTCCTTAAAGAGGTTTGTAATTTCTCTTATTTGCGTCAATTCTCTTTGAGGAACAACTGGGAGAAACTCCTAAACGATGCTACAATACATGTCTTTGGTTGATTTGAAAACAAATTTTTGTACTGTGGAGTGTTTTTTGTTGGATTAGGGTTTGGGAGAGAACCGGTCGCAAATCAAGCACAGATTGTTGTAGGAATTTTTGATTACTGACAATAAAAAAAACAAACAAACAAACAAAACAAAACCAACTGAAAAAGGAATTACACTGGTTAATCAGAACACAACTTTAGTAACGATGGTGTTCCAAATATTGCAGTTTATTATATTGAATTCCTTTCTGGCTTTGCCCATATTACAGATCAAACTGGTGTGTTATAAACATAATCCCTCAATACCTGTTCTAAACATAATAAATAACTTGGATTTGGAATATATGGAACAACTAGCATACCAAGGAGACATTTAAATGCAAGACTAGTTATTTCTCCACTCTGAGAAAGTTTAAGATTTGACAGTCCCCTCCCCCAAAAAGTATTCCATTCCCCACCCCAGAAAAGAAAAATTCCATTCTGCTAATGTAATTAAACAGAATGTCTGTCCATAGAGAGATTATGAAAGCATAACATTTGTCTCTCCTGTGGCATCAGCCATTTAGCATTTGTATGCAAATGCAAGAAGTTTCATGTTTGGTGCAAACAAGTTAATTATTTCGTTATTTCAGACTAGTGAATTTATTAATTAATTAAAAACAATGATTTGCAGAAAAATCAGCTGAATCAATAGCAATCAGCGGTTTGCTGAAAAATGCTCGGATTCTCTAACTAAATTCCCAGATGGTTTATTTTTGCTCAGGCATTAATTTTCATGACCACACAATTAACAGTCAGTAATAAATGCAGAGACACTAAAGCTGTCTTCATGAAATTCTTGGGACAAAAGGAATTTCTCTTGAAAAACACTAACAACAATTAGTAGAATTCTACTTGAGCACTAATGCAAATGTTGCAATCTGATTGGCTGAGCTATCAGCATGTATACACAACTGTAAGTTCTAAATAACAATTAAGTCTGCGTGCTTTGCTGAAGCCTGAACTTTAATACTACACTTTGAAATAGTTAGAAATCGTCATTTGATTGAAATTTAGTTTGAATATCCTACTGAAACAGAGATTAGACTGTTCACTTTTGATTTCCAAGACATGACCTTTGGCCGCATCCACTATCACCTCATTGAAATCTCAAAAGTCCTAATCAAATTGTCGATTATATTTATTTATTTCTAATGAGAAGAATGCCTGATATTTGCTGGTCCAAGGCCAGTTCCAGTAAAAATACACCTTGACTGCATCACTAAAATAATTTATATGCCTATTCAGTTCAAGTATTTTTTCACTTGACCCAAGCTCATTTCTTTAATTCTCAGCCAAACTCCTAAAGATGACAGCATAGAAAGTGTGACTGACAATAAAAGTGTTAAGAATATTATTA